GTTATTATAGTAATCTTTTTTATTAATTATTCACCAATCTCATTTATAACTCATAATTTTTTTTAAAGAAAAAATTTCAAAATTTTACCAAAAAACAGGTTTTTTTCTCTTTTTTTTTAAACTATGAAGCATTTGTTCACTAAATATTTTGAAAATATTACAAGGTAGGTAAAACAAAATTTAATAAAAATAAGACGATAATTTTACTAAACATATATGACCAAGAATACGTAAAAATTTTTGGAATTCCGAGCTAATTGTAGTCGAACTTTAGCGTTAGTTTTAGTAGATTTGAAATCGACTGGTTATAGCTGTAGAGTTATAGGTTGTGCCTGGGATATTTTTTTCATGTTCTAGCTCTCGTTCTCTCTATGGGGTAAACATTACTAATGACGACAAAATTGATTGCGATAAATAAGTATTGTGGTATTACTATTTTATAAGCATTTTTGATAACAAACAAAACAAGTATCTTTTCAGCCATACTTTGAATTTTCAGCTGATTTAACACTTAAATTGATTTGACAGAGCTTTAAAATTTTTGATTTAACAATTCCCATTCCTGATAGTCAAAGTTCAATCATAAATGTATTTATCGAAAATTATTATTAATGGCAATAATATTTTCATAGTTATTAATGAACTAATATCAAAGTATGACAAAATCTTTTATTTTTAACCTTTAACAAATTATCTAAATGATCACAATGAATTATAAATATTTTATCAGTTTTCTCGGTGACTTCACGTTATACAATAAATAGGGAATTAGACATTCGAATCACCGAACGAAAAACTTACAGCACTATTGAGTATTGAGTATAGTTAAGTGCGGCGAGCTCTCTGCTTATCGCTTATAGCTCTGCGTTTTTTTATAGCACTAAGTATTATTTAATCCGTGTTCGTCGTATTTTACAACGGTTACAGTTTCTTTTCTTGATGAATTGACATTGAATTTATCATTCAATGAACTTAGATAATTTAAGTTTATAGAAACACGTTTGGTACCATACTTTCGGGATTATAGGTAAAGTGCGGCTTTGAAAAGAACTCCTCCAGATTAAAAGTCTGGGGCTGTCTGCTACGATGGTAACAAGCAAGAGCACATTTCCAATGGGGTGAAATGAAGGAAAGAAGATGTCGATTGGTTAACTCACGCCAACCTATGCCAAGATTAAGACAAAACTATTCACCCCCACCCCTTTTCGAAAAATCTTTTCCTCGTAACCATAGAACCCGCCACGACGCGAGACTGGTGTCTGGCGGAGTTCTCCTGCAAGCCGCACTATACCTCCCTTTTTTTTCTTGGTGGTCAAAAATTGAAATCATTTGGAAGAAAAGACAATGCTTGAAAATCCAATAATTAGCAGCTAAGTTATCCTCTGGGAGAGAGAGATTTTCTCTCTGGCTCACTGCACACCATATTTAGTGTGAATAGGTGCAGAATATGGATCATACAAACACTCTGTTTTAGATATCAGCTGTTCACTGCAGACATCGACTAATTATTTATTTATTTTTTTGAAATATAAATATCTTGCATTCAATTGTCAAAGTACTTGTCTCAATGGATTTTTATCGTAATAATAAATCTCCCAAATAATAGAGACTAACACAAATTCTAAACAACACAATTTTTATTAAAAAAATTATATTATGTAGGGAGTTAAGAAAATTTAACATTATTTTATCTGCTTTCCCATTTTTCTGTTTTATGGAACTATCAATATGTGCAGGGAATAGCTTGTATAAAGAGTACCTTTCCTGCAAAATTTGAGCTTGGTGCGCAGATTTTTTTTCTTCTTTTTTTGCAGAACTAATTTTTGTGAGTGAATATTTAACGGTGCTACACCGTTTCAGGAAATCTTGCAACAAAAAAAACTGCAAACTATTATTGACACCAATGATGATTATACTGTGGTAATAAGTTATATGGTAATAGCTACCTAATACTAATATAGGTACTGTAGCAATAAATTTCTTTACGCACTCCGAATCAGAAAAAAAAACACTTTCACACAGTCACTAGCACAATTTTTTAAGATAATATTGGCACTATTTCATTTCAAGAGACTATTAAAAAATTGTATAATAATCCTTAATTTATTTAGTAGACATGAGTTTTTTTCAACAGTTTCCAGTATTAAAGAAAAAATTCCATTTTTGTGCATTTTTCGCCACATAAACTAAATTCGTGTCAATAATTGTTTGGCAAATGCTTGCTACTCCCCAAAAATGGAGTATTACGATGAGCAAATAAAGGCACCAATATTCAGATTATTATTTCATAAGACTAATATCATGTTGCTATAATTATTTATAATATTCCAGTGCAAACTATTTTGCTGACACATACCACAAATCTTCTACTTTTTTGTTGCTTGTTGCCTTACATTATTTCCTTTTCAATTAATAACAATGTTAAGTTGAAAATAATAATAATGATATAGAAGTTTAGCTCACTGTAAATCATTTATATACTATTTTTTAACCCCAGATCGTTAAAATTTATCACAAGGCTTCAATGGATTGGCTTTTGCAAATTATTTATATTTTATTTTATTTATTCTTTTCTTACATTACTTTCAAGTTTTAGAAAAACGTTTTGAAAGCATTAGCATAAAAACAAATATTTATTTCATAGATCTATCAAATATCTACACAGAATGATCCATCTCTTATTGTGATTTGTTTTTCTCCTCTTATTATAAATTACAGCTAACGAAAATAGTAGTTCAAGAAGTATAAATGAAACGAAAATCAAACAAACGACCGAAAGCAATGCAATAGTGTTGTTGAGGTTTAGGTTTAAGATATTGAGCCACACTGCTTCGAGCATTTTCATTGGCTAATAGTCGGGAAGAAGATTCCCTCCTACTTTCTGCATAAAATTTCTGTTGTTGCTTCTAATCCCCAAGAGGTCCATCCTAATTAGACCAATTCCATAAGTCCAAAAATGTCCAGAAAGTCTAAAAACAGATGAGGTTTTGAAAAAACCTCGTCGATCTTAAAATCGATACAGTTTAGAATATGCTCGGGCGAAGCCTGAGCAGTCCTACATTTAGTGCAAAGTCCAAAAGTCTTTTGCCCCTGAACATACGAGAGACACCTCAAGTGACCACTTGCAAAGCGAGACAAACAAGTCTGCTGGCTTCTAGGTCCCCCAAAAAGCATGGCACTTCCAGGTCGTTTTCTGAAATACCAATTATGCGGAGGAGGAACCCTCCAGAGGACCATAAACATTTTTTTGCACTCTGCAAAGACCTCATTGAAAGTGGAAGGTAAGTCTGGCTGTAAAGGTTCTAAAGAAGCATCTTTAGCCAGTGAGTCCGCCATCTCGTTACCTTTGATTCCAACGTGTGATGGAATCCATTGGAAGTGTACCCCAAAGTCCGCTGAGAGCCTGAGGAACATCCCCAAAATTGAAGCCGCAGCCCTGTCTCCAACATTCATCCAGTTGCTAAGGTGTTGGATTGAAGATTTGCTATCCGTCAGTATCCATATATGCTTAAAGTCAGGCTCAGCAATATTCTCAACATGTCTTAGGCCATTTTCAATCGCAATAAGCTCAGATCTGAAAACNAAGCAAGGCACTTCCAGGTCGTTTTCTGAAATACCAACTATGCGGAGGAGGAACCCTCCAGAGGTCCATAAAAATTTTTTTGCAATCTGCAAAGACCTCATTGAAAGTGGAAGGTAAGTCCGGCTGTAAAGGTTCTAAAGAAGCATCTTTAGCCAGTGAGTCCGCCATCTCGTTACCTTTGATTCCAACGTGTGATGGAATCCATTGGAAGTGTACCCCAAAGTCCGCTGAGAGCCTGAGGAGCATCCCCAAAATTGAAGCCTCAGCCCTGTCTCCAACATTCATCCAGTTGCTAAGGTGTTGGATTGAAGATTTGCTATCCGTCAGTATCCATATATGCTTAAAGTATAAAATATATAGATATAAAATGGATATAAAATAAATAGGTATAAAATATATAAATATAAAATATATAGATATAAAATATATAGATAAAAAATTTATATATAGATATAAAATTTCTATATCTATATATAACTATCCGTTTTTCAACTCTACCGAAACCAGCCCTCAGAATATTAAAGGTTAAAACAGTGGACGAAATAATGTCCTCGCGGAAGTTCTACATCCACTAATGGTTTGTTTTGAATTCCAGCCCAGATTGGTAATAAATATTCATTAGCAAAAAATTCTCTAATTAGGTTCTCATTTACAAGCGGAAAAAAAATTGCAAGCAATGAGAACGGCTCTTTAAAGCTCAGTTGGCTGCATTATCTAAGAGGTTCTCAAAGTGAGCATAAGCACGTTAAGACAACGGAGTCTTGCGCGCAAAATTTAAAGTTTGTTTACATTTGGGCATGCTCCTGATGTCTCACATTAGTATCATTTTTGTTTTCCTTTTTTATTCCATTTCAAAAAATTGTACATTAACTTTTTTTTTTATTTTAAGGGTAAATTCTATTTCATATAGAATTTTATTAAAACAAATTTTTGAGGAAAAAAATTAAATTTTTAATTTAAAAAACCTATACTATAAAAATATTCTGCTTTGTCATTACTTTGATAGCAAAATTAATGGATAGGTGGGACATTAATTTTTCAACTTTCTGCTCATACTCTCTGTTTATGTTTCCTTTTTCCAGGCAGTTGGGATGAAATTGCCAAAAACAAAACAAGAAAATTAATGAAAAATATTATTCAATGAATAGTTTTAGAACTATCAAAGATTTCAGAGCAAAATGTGGGGTATTTATTGTATGGGGGAATGTTCCAAAATTTTTGTGCAAGGAAAGGAGATATATTTTTCTTAAAAATCTTTTAGATAAGGACTTACCAATATTAATTTTGTGAAGTAAATATCTGATTCATAAATTGAACTGCATTTTAAAACAAAATTATTTTTGTGTATAAAAATAAGGCAATTCTTAATTGAACATATTTATTCATTTAATTTTTTAAATATTATTCTTTTCCTTAGTTGGTTGATTAAAAAATCTAAGAAACAAAGGCATGGACAAAGTGGACTGTGAAGAAGTATTAAAATGAAACCTCCTCTATGGTTACAACAACTTCTGCTATGTTTCTCTTACATCCACTGTTTTGCTGATAAAAAGTGTCTTGAAAAAGGTATTTTTTTCCTTAGTTTTTAGTTAGTTTTTCTTTAGCTGGACCGATTGCAGATCTACATAATTCAGTAGGCACTTGATCATAGGCATTTCAGGGGTCCAATTTTTGAAGCGGACGAAATTAAAAACCAAGTGCCTTTGGTTTGCTAAATTTCAGGCATTATAAAAGTTTTTCTTTAAACTGCTAAATATATGCAAAAGGATTAATTAATTTTATGTCTTCCTTGTTTTTTAACTTTAATGAATTTAAATCTGTGAGTTGATGAAAATCCTCTTTATTTGTCTGAAATTGGTGGTCAAAATGGGCTACAGGTGGCGTAAAGCAGAACTCTCTATCTGTGGCATCACTTCGCTTGTTTCAACTATCAGCGTGTGGAGAGTCATTGGAGAAAACAATATGTTTCTCTTGTGATTTTTAAATAGATTAAAAACTTTTAAGTTGGGAAACTATTTGGAACTGAAAACTATATTGAACATAGTTCTGAAAGAAAGCATTGTGAAAGTTTAAAAAATATTTTTTTGCCAATTAAACACAAAAAATATTAAGAGAGGAAAATATCGTACTACATTCCTACACAACTGAGAAAGGGTCAAGAAATGGAACCAGTGTTCTCTCGAGATAAGTATTCGAGAGTTGCAATTTGGAATATTAAGCAAGGCTATTAGAAATCTGTAATTATTGAGGTATGCATATTCTTCCACAAAGGACATACATAACCTTGATTATTCAAAGTAATGAGAACTAGATTAACTTCGAATAATTGAAATATTCAAATTTTAGATGATTTTTGAATTTTTTCTATCTATTCTCATCAATAAGCTTAAAAAATTTAGCTCTTTTTTAAAAAATAATATTGTTATATGGTATTTAAATTTGGTTTCATACGACGATTTAATAAATTCTTTTTGACAAATAGGTTAAAAAATATCTTAATTTAATTTTTTATTTATTTTGAAGACCTATATAATTGAATTATATGGCAGCAACATATAAATTATATGACAGTTTTCCAAACTTAATTAATTTTTTTAAAAATCTATTTGAAAATCAGGGCGGAAACTAACTGACTTGAATTCTATGACTCTCCACTTGCAAATGGTGAAAGCATGCGGAGTATTTGCCATAGGTAGAGAGTTATGCTCTACGCCACCTGTAGCTTATTCCGATCGCCAATAGCGAAAGAAAATTATATTTCTCTTGTTAATTTTGTTGGTGTCGATGGTGAAGTGCCATTGTCTTCGTCACTGGCATTGGTAAGCAAGTGGCCTTCTCTTGCTACTTCATATGTAAATCAGTATCATAAATGAACTTGACTCGGAGATCATTTATTAATTTATATATTTTCATGCGGATCCCATGAAAGTCAAGAACCACAAAGCTCCATCACCTCAAAATTTCCATCTCCCTTTTATTCATTTAATTTAATAAAGATAAAAATTGAGATTTTTAAGCATTAGATTTTTACCCGAGAGACAGTCCAATAATTGCTTATTTTTTTAAACTTTTATTGTACTTACTTTTTTTACTTATTACTACTTAATATTGCATTATTGCTTTTAAAATTTTCAGTGCTCTAATTTGTTTCATAAAAAAGCTTAATTATTCTTAAAAGCATGATTTTAAAAAAATATGAAGAGATAACCTTTCAATATTATAAAGCAGCAAAAATTCTTATTTAATTCAGATTTGTCACTCTAAAGAACTTTAATTCATCTTTTAATGATTTGATTTAAAAACAATTGAAATAAAAAAATTAATTAATTGTTAAATATTATGAGTGTAGAGACCATATAATAATTTACTTCTGATAAAAATGTTTATCTTCAATACCCATTGTATTTACAATTCAAAATTATTTTTTTTAATCATATTAAAGAAATGCTAAGTCAAGTAACACATTTTAATAAAAATTTATTGGGGTCCATTCATTAATTTACATTTGTAATATGAATTTATTAAACTTTTCTTAGTTTGCTTCATTCTTTTCATAGCTTTTAAAATTCGGTATGTTCAATAATATTAATCTTGTTAATCTTTTGTTGAATATGCTTTTATAAATAACTTACATTTAAACCTAAAAAAATACTTCGATAAGCATTTTGAATGATGGTTAAATTAATTATAATTTTGAACTAAATTTTTACATAATTAATTAAAGTAATTATTAATTTAAAAATTGGATTAATCCACTCAATATTTAATACATTGAAAATTGTGTATATATTTTTTGTATGGTGACTAATTTATTTCAGAAAAGAGTTCTTTATTAGAAATTAGTTATTATATCATGATCATCTAAAGTCTTTAAAAAATAATTTTGCATTTTGTTAATGTATATATGAAGAACTTTCGACAGTAGGAAGAAAAATTTTTTATTAGTGCACATATCCTAATTATGATTTTTTTTAAGTGCTTAAAAATATTTTTTGAATGCTTAAAAGGTGCTTATTTTTGTTGAAAAATTTGGCTCACTCCGGGAGGGAAAAATTGAGCAACTCCCATAAAAAAAGGGGGAAGGCAAGAGCAGGCCATCCATCCAAATATTATAATTCAAGCAAATACTTTGCCTCTGATTAATTGAGTGTTTCTAATTTTTTTCGGTGGACTATTTTGTTTTTCAAATAAATAAAATGGAACACTTATTTGTTTAAATGAACATATTTTCTTTTTAATGCACTCTTTTTCTTGTGAATTTTTATAAAAATTACCTTAAAAATGGGGATTTTTTTCATGTATATGAATATTTTGCTTTTAGTTTGGAAATTATTTCCTTTTTGAAGTTAGTTCTTTGCCAATTAGTACAACTTTGTAATATGGTGTTATTTTTGACTTATTTATGATGTTTTTTAAGTTGACTTCAAAGTTTTATGCTTTCTGTCATTTTTCAGTATAAGTAAGTCAGTTTAGAAAAAAAGAAGTAACTGAAATTAGCACTTGATAACTTTTCAAAGACTGTACATAAGTTTAGATAAACTTTTTTTTTGGTCTTTTTCTTAGAATAAATAAATATTTTTGCCATGTCAAAAACTTTTATATTAGTCTTTTTACAACTAAAGTAATATTCAATTTTCTGAAGGATTTTTAAGAGAATAGAAGTTATTTGCAACTTTTCTATTTTTAAGTTGTCTGATTTTATATATTCAATTTTATTATCTAATTTTTTTTTAGTTGAATCCATCTCTTTTCAAAACTTATATCATTACAAAGTCTTGAAAAAGAGATGGATAATAAAGCATAATATATTTTTGAAAAATTTTATACAAGTACCAATTTCTAGCTTTATCAAAATTATCTGTTTGTTTACGAGGAATATTAACTTAATATATTTCTACTTTGATTGTAAGCTAGCAGATTTTCACCAGTAGTAGTTAATGCAAAATCATTTCTTGTACCATTTCAAAATACATAAAGCTCTACATATATTATTTTAAAATTTCTATTTGCTAAATAAATTGTTCACAAAACTGTAAGCTCTTAGAAGCATTAATGTTGGCAATTGTCATATGTAACGGAGTAGATCTGTTATCAGTTTTCCTGGAGAAAAGTGTAGTAATGTTTTATTGTTTCAATTAACTAATATATAATTAATTGTTCTACAAGATTGTTGTTATGTTATATCTGATTGATTTTATATTATTAATCGCAAACATTCTCTTTAATACTTATGCTACTTAATTCTAGCATTTACTGATATAAAATAGGAGAAAATTCCGCATAATTCATTTCAGATTTATTTGCAAATTCATATTGCTTTAATTTGTTGTACTGTAAGACTGAAATCTTATTTACTTTCCAGAATTTATTGAAAGACATTTTTATGTTGATGAATATGATTTGCCTTTAAAAATTGAAGTTAGCAACAGGATATCTCATCAGTTAGTTTCCAACATAGCCAAGATACTTCTTACCGAAGCTGTAGGTTATTCATATGTTAAACTTGTTCAGCAAGATCGAGATACTGTTGCAGACAATGCGACAAGAACTATGCAAAAGATTTCTACCTGCTCGAGCCATCAGTAAGTTAAGCATGTTCATTACTAGTATTTCTATTCATCTTCTTTAATTTAACATTGAAATGTAAATAAGTTTACTTTGAGAGAACTGATCTCAATTAGTAATTGGACTTAAGACTTCCACAAATATCTATCCTTGAAGTTTGGGTTTACTGAAGAGAAGAAAGAAATTAAGAGAAATTAAAATACCGATCACAGCATTTCTACCAGTAATAAGAAGAGAAATCAAAAATCATGCATAAAGCAGTTAAATACTGCAATTCCAAAGGAAAGTTGCACAGTGCAGCAGAAATTCCATTAAAAAAATTGAAGCCAATTGAAAAATTTTGAAGAAGAAAACAATGAAAAATATAAAAAAGACCAGCGAAGGTGACATTATCAGGGGGTACCAGTTCCGGAAGCCATAAAAACAAGAAACCTTTTCTATCGAGAGAGCACGACGGATGTCTAAAAATTGCTCTCTCTATACCCCAAAGGTTTTGCAAAGAGTCCAGGACGAGAGAAAAGAGAATACAAAAACAAAATACTAAAGTAAAATACTACATAAACTAATTACAAAAGGAAAACAATGTTCGAAAAACCTACTTAAAAATATTCCCCTTTCAAACCAAAGCACATAACTTTCTGAAAAACCTTAACCTAACTGAAATTCACAAGCAAACTAGCGACCCCATTTAATGCACAGAAAGAAGAAAGAAAGGAAAGCAAGAAAGCTATTGCCATCTGTTTGTAGAAAAGTTTAACTGGGGCCGCTCAGTTGAGTCTCGATCTAGTCCTATTGAAAGAAAACGAAAACTAATTATTTTTAATAATTTCTTTAATTTTAACTTCAATGTTGTAAAAATTAAAATGAAAATCATTACTTTCCAAATTATTTAAAAAATTACTATTAGCCTCTTGAAAGCATTCAACATTATTGCAAATTTTTTTGATTCTTGAAAATTACCTTGTGGTTTCCCTATTTTTTGTTTATAAAAATCAATACCATTAAAAAGAACATTTTCAAAAAGATTAAATTTAGGGATATCAATCAATAATTTTTATCAATATTTTCATTAATTAAATATTTATCATAAATACAACTACAAATATCAAGTATTTGCACATGAGGTATCCTGAGATAAAGATTTTTAAAGTCAAATGTATTAATATTAAAAACTTCATTTTTTTTCCCAATAAAGTTCAGAACATCAAGATAACAATTAATAACAATCTTTTTCTCACCTTTAATTTTAAGCAAAATAATTTTAAGAATATTAAAGAACTTTTTACTAATATTAGAATTATAACTATTAGTATCACAAACTATAAACTTGAATTTGACTGGATTTTTATGAAATTTAATAATTAGAAATAAATAAGGTTCGGTAATTCTAATCAATTTAGATTTTAATTTTCTTCTAAAAGCAATAATCCTTTTGTCAATAGCTTTTTTGTCATCCTTTAATTTAAGATAAATATTATTAGTATTATATTCCTTAATAATAAATTTTAAAAAAAAATATTTACGCTTAATGCCAAAGTTAGAAGCTTTATCAACAACTGTAATAATTAACTTATTTTTAAGTTTTTTAATTTTCTCAAACATATCATAATCAACTAGGATAGAAACAAAATTTAGAATTGTTTTAAATTATTTTTTATTAAATTCTTTTGTTGTTTATTCATCATCGCTACTACTATCACTTTTATACATACTTTTCTAAAATCATAAACTGAATGTTACATTTTACTACTATATAAATTTTTGGTTGTTTGATTCCTGGCTTTTGCATTGGTAGGATCTTGTTTAGGCAGTGTTCAACTGTATAACTACCCATAGAGAGATTAAAATTGTTTTGTCATAGAGAAAAAATTTGTAAATTAGCATTTGATAGTGTTTTAATATGTCCCTTTAGAAATGTACTAGATGTTCTGTGACGGCCACCTTTTATGTACATTGTTTGAATCTTTTTTTAAAAATGTAGGTAAGAAGCTATGTAATCTATTATTGCAAAATAAGAATTTTTTCAAAATTTCAGTTTTGTATGATTTTTAAAATATAAATAATAATTGCATCAAGTGGCATATTATAAGGTTTGCTTTTTAACTCATGAAGATTGCATCTTAATAAGTAAGTATTGAATCCGTAACTAGGTTAAAAGTTATTTTAGGTGTTAATTTTTTTGTTGCTTTAAATTGTAGCATTAAGCACCAAAATATCATTTAAAAAAGAAAATTCGCTCTTAAATCGCATTTTTCGATTGGTTCTTTGTGTGTTATATTGATTTTTTGTGTGAAATTTTTTCTGAAAGAATCGGTATTTACTGACAAAAAATGAATAACTTCTGATAATAGCATGAAAGTATTTAAATTAGTAGAGTATCCTAACAATAGATGCTTCACAATTAAAAATTGAAATTGAGCTGTTTAAATTGTACCCTCAGCATTATAATAGGTTAAACCAACTTAATATAAAATGACAATAAAATCTATATTAATAATAAGCAGGATAAACATTATATCCAACCACATAACAGGAAAATGGTTTATTCTACTATGAATCTTTTAGAAAACAGTCAAATATCAAGGCTACAGAAACATATCATGATAGGCATTGGACACTAATTGTTTTAAATTATATAGATTTTTAACGGAATTTTTTTTTGTCAGTCTTCTTTCATTTCTAAACCTAACTTTTTCAAGCTCCTTAAAATGAGATATACTTCCTTAAATTAATTGGTTTTCTATATTTTCAATCATTGCACCAATTTAGAAAAAAATTTAGTAAAGTTTCGTGTCTAAAAATATGCATAAACTGTTCATTTTGATGCGTTATGTATTCTCTTTGATGAAAATATTAAATAAGTATACTCATACCTATGCAATACTAAGAGAAAAAATTTTTTTTTATAAATTATTAACGGGTTATATTAAAATAGTAGTGAAATTTGAAAAAGTATTATGTAGCAAATCATATAACAAATAGGCTTCCGATACACATTAAGATGTAATTTTAATAAAAGTAATTTACTTTAGAATGTGTAAAATTGTAGACTTTATTTGAGGAAAATAACATCATGTCCTGATATTAATCTGAAACAAAGCTAAAAGGTAGCGTAAGTTATTAAATTAATTGAGGAATATAAAAATACTTTATTGTCCTAATAGTACAAACTAATTTACAAACATTGATAAAATTTAATTTAATGTTATGAACATTTCTCATTGTAATCAAGCACAATCAACATGTATCAATTAACATTCAGTTTTAAAAAAAAAAGATTTTAGCCCACTTAATTTTAGTTTCATCTAAAATAAAAATGTTTAACAATTATACAATTTTAACATACATAATTTTGTTTCATTACCATATCATGATAGTAATTATAAAAATTTCAAATATCTTTTTAGAATGACTAGGAATATAAAAAAGTCATTTTATGGCACATCCACTTATTACAACAATTGCAGCAACTTATTGCAAAATTTCATTTATGCAAAAATAAATTTTGCTTTTAATTTTCAGATTACTTTTTTTAATTATTGAAAAAGTTTTTAATACCTTCTTAGTCAGATGTTTGTATCATTTACTGATTTGTATAAATTTATATTAATTTTGTTTTATTTTATAGGAAATGTGATGATGTTTATTTTCTTGGACCTGAAGTAATGATAAATTTGGAAGTATGGCTGAACCCTGGTTTTAACATGGATGAATGGCTTTCTACTGAACGTATTGAAGACTTAGGTCCCTTAGGTCCTTTAGGAAGGTTTGAGAAACTGATTAATTTTTTATTTAACTGAAATTATTTTTTTTAAAATAATACTTTTTCGTTTTTGAAACCTGTTGATTTTATTTTCAACACTAGTACTAGAAAATTTATAATTGTGAATACATTATTAATTGTTATATTTTATACTGATCGTTTCATTATAATTTTCATTTTTAAACAATGAATTAATGTTTGATACATTCTCATACATTATTAAAAACTTTTTTTCATAGTTTTGTTTAATCATTACAATTTGCTTATAGATTTAGCATAGTTTTTTCCTATTTGTGCCTTGAATTTTCGATCATTAACGCCTGTATTCACCAATAACCCTAACCCTCGGTCAGAGTTCAAAACAGGTTTTATGAGAGCAACTCTAGGTTAGAGTCCAAAATTTCATTTCACCATGTACGTATCTGCGAGTTACTGTAACCCAGAGTTAAGTCACTTTATCCTGAAGATATTCCCGGTTCGAGTAACCGCNTAACCCTCAGTCAGAGTTCAAAACAGGTTTTATGAGAGCAACTCTAGGTTAGAGTCCAAAATTTCATTTCACCATGTACGTAACTGCGAGTTACTGTAACCCAGAGTTAAGTCACTTTATCCTGAAGATATTCCCAGTTCAAGTAACCGCGCATGCGCAGTAAACGAGTGTTTGTTTATTTACTTCGTTTTCTTCGTCAGTATTTTTTTATATTTCTGCTCTTTTTTGTTTCAAAATTTTAACTGTTTTGAATTTCGATTCTTTTTTTTGTATTCTTAACCTGAAGATTTCCCCGGTTTGAGCAACCGCAGATGAGAAGAAGGAGATTTTTTATTTATTTATGTTTTCAAAAATGACACTTTTGATGTTCGATTGCTTATGTTCCGTGAGGTCAATTTTTTCACATGGTGCAACTATAATTAATTTATATCTTTGCCTTGCCTTCAAAAAAATATAGCATACCATAATATTAATAAACTGAAAATATATTGATAAAATGAAAATTAAATAATACTTTTGATGTTTGGTTGCTTTTTTTTATGTTCAATGAGGTCGATTGTTTTTACTAGATGCAACTATAACTAATTTATTTCAAATAAGTGCTTATTAATAAAGTCAAAATTAAATAACACCTCTGATGTTCGGTTGCTTTTTTTATGTTCAATGAGATCAATTATTTCACTACATGCTTACTTTTTTTTATGTTCAATGAGGTCGATTTTTTTACTAGATATAACTATAAATAATTTATATCAAATAAATGCTTATTAATAAAATAAAAATTAAATTTTCCTGAGTTAATATCTTCTATAGAAGAAACTATTTATATTTCTCAAATTAATATTAGCAGTCGTTACAGCACTTAAATAATTTTTCACTCAAAAAAAATCGTGGATAATAAAGATTGCGGCTACAATAATTCAAATGAATAGTGTAAGTAAGAAGATTCTAAATAATTTAACAAACTTTTTTTTTTTTAAAGAAAAAAAAACAATCGATACTTGAAAGAAATATAAAATTTAAAAAATAATATAATTCATTAAACATTTTTGGATTTTAATAATATCTATCGAGATGATAGATCTTGCCCAAAAATAAAAGTAGTTTAGAGATGAACTGGCAAAATTAATGTGCAATATTTAGATACGAAGATAACGAAAAGAATTTAATTTTTTTTAATCCATGAAATAAAGCTATTAATTGAATTAAAAACATATACATTATTTTAAACATATATTAGAAATTATGCTGAAATAAATATTATGTAATCAATGCAAATTTTGATCCGAGGTAACATTTAAACTACACAATAATCTGCATCAAGTAACTTTGCAAATCAGGAAATTTAGAATTTTGCAACCATAAAATAATCTGCTGAATATTTGGAAAGAATAGGATCGTTTGAAAGAGATTTATTGCTTAAAATTATATGAAATTAAAATACCCATCTTTAGTTATAATTTTTAATATATAGCCTGACTACTTTATGAAATATGGGGCATTTATACAACTGATATATTTCCATTTACAATTATCTAAATAATAAAATTTTTAAAGGCATTATTTTTTTTTAAATTGTGAAAGCTTTGGAATATTTGTTCCGAATATGACATTTTACTTTAAAAATTTTTTTTATCTTATTCTCCATATCCCTGACGGCGATTCTCTCTTATCATCGGCAGATGGCAGCACAATAATAGTCATTTATAACTTCTGAATAATATGAATGTGTTGATTTATGCTTATCTGAGCTGAGAAGTTTATTTTATACAATTACATTTAAAATTTTTAAAAAAAAATTTTTTCACAATTGTTTAAGTTATCGATAATATGTTATGAAGGGGAAAAAGGATTAAAAATATGCAAATAAGGATGAGAATGATATTAGCATAATCCCCTTGATCATAGTGTAAAATAAAAGTATTAAATAATTGTGTGAAATAAACGTAATTTTAATTGAATTTCGGTTACATTTCTGTGGTTACTTACGGCTTTATGATATCATAATAATAAAATATCTAAATTCATAATAATAAAGCTCGGATCTTTTCGCTCATCAATACAAGTCAGTTAGGAAAACGAAACTAAACATCTTTTTTATTTGACTAGTAAAAGAGAGATTCAAATTTAATTATTCAATGCAATATTTTTTTTTTTCTTCTTTCGAAAAAAAACTTTTTTAAAAAATAGCAAAGCAACGAAATTTGAAAACAAACACTGTTAATACGCTATAAATCTACCACTGGGATGCTAGTTAACGGCGAGTTAAGAAACCAGCAGATACGAAACTGGCGGTCAAAAAATAATGAAGAATACGCTTTTCGACTCGTGGTCAAAATTTCCAAACCGGGAGTTTCGCTTTAGGTCAGAGTCAACGGTAAATACGGGGGTAAATGGCTCATACAATAAAAATTTTATTTGGCAATTATTTTTAAAAAATTGGATGTCATAAATTTGTTTGGGACTACATTTATATATTAAATAAAAATCTCTTTGTATTTTTCATATTTAATTAAAGTCTAATTATTAAAGAAACAAAAAGCATTATTCTATTGGTGTATTAATAATAATGTAACATTGATAACTACTTATTGGCACAAAAGAAATTAATATTTAAAATTAATTTTATTTTATTTATTTATTGACTCCTCAAAAAAGTATTAATCAAATATAATTTGCAAGCAGCTTATGTTTATACAGTCTACACTCCTTAGTAAAACCCTCCTCTATTAGTGCGACCCTTCTGAGCGACCGCTACGTGAAGTCCTGTTTGCTGTTCCATAGGCACATTAAAATGTCTAATCATGATGATGCAGTGTTCCAATGTAGTGACAAAAATTTTGTTTCATTTTTTAATTTTCAGAAAATCGTTCTGTAAACAGGTGTTATAAAATTTTTACTCTTCACAGTTTTCTATTGATAAAGAATCAATCAATAACAAAAATCTCCAGAAAAATTAATCAAACCACTATTTCTTTTTATGTTACTGCTCAAAAAACATGAAGTTTCTTGAATTCTCAATGAACGAAGAAAGAGTGAGAAAACAACCTATTCTTAACCTAGCAGGTCTTTTGTCTAATCTATGGTCAAAAGAATTGTGAAAGATAGAGTACTTACTGTAGTGTATCTACCACTACAAAAATACAATTCCAATTCACTGGTATATAAGACTTGTTAACTCGATTCTATGTTGGTGATTCTTTTCATAGATGAAGGTTGACATGGTCGATGTGACTCTCTCCACACTTGCCATTAATTTGAAGTGAATATTGCACTGTCTTTTAGAAATCTGAGTTTACTGTAGAATCAAAACTTTTCGAAATTTATTTTCAGATGGTTCAATTTATTCATCAATCATAATTTTTCTTGTCTAAAAATTGTATTCACTCTTTTTGGGAAGTGATGTAAGAGGTGATTTTTTATGGAGCTAAAACACGTTTGTTAAAACACATAATTCACATTCTTCTTTTATTTTAGTTTCGCTTCGTTTTTTTTTTTTTTTTGCCATATTTTATTTAGTGAAAATGGCTGCTCCTAACCAGTCTAACAGTATATGCTTAAAATGCATAGTAAAATTTTTAAAGGAAGTAGATAGAAGAATAACATTAAAATTACAAATTGCTAAATATTCAAAATCACAAAAAGCACTTTGTTTATTTTATTTAAAAATCTTAATATAATTATAGAGGCAGAAGAACAAAGTGTTCTAATTTCATGCTACTGTTCTCGACAAAGCAAAATTTTAAAATCTAAAAAAACTGAATGACTGGCTAAAGTTTATGCACAATATTAAAAGCTGTCATTTGAAAAAATTTAAATGTACTTTTAAATTTTAATGCATTATGTTAAGTACTAGAAGCACTTTATTGACATAAAAAAATTATGTATTAGTCAATTCCATATTTCTATTTAAAGTGTAACATGTTTTTGCCAAAATAAGTCCAGTATTTTTGATATATAAATATATATTTTAACTAATTTATGTAGTCACAATATAGCTCCCTCACATTATACCTCCAGTTTTCGTTTGGACCACAGACGTCATTATGTAGAGCGTTGACTGTATTTAGCAGAAATTAAATATGGTGTGATAAGGTATTAAGATATTCGCTTCAGAAATATCTCACTAAACTTATTAATAACTTATTATAAATTCATTATTAATAAAACTAAACAAACAATATTTAGTCTTCATTCTTGGATTTTTTTTATTGACTTTTAAAGGTGATTCTATGATAAAAGAGACGTCTTAAATTTTATTTAAGATGTCTCTTTTATCATTATTTAAACTTTTTAATTTTTTTAAACTAATGTTAAACTGCACATAATGAAAGGAAATACTTACCGAATTTTTTTAAATTAATTAAATTTTCAGATTAAAGTTATTCATTTTAATATAAACAGAGAAGAAAAATTCAACTCTTTGTAAATAACTATTGTAAAATATCCTCTCTTTTTTTATTATTTATTCACTAGAACTGAGTTTTTTTGTTGTTGTTGTTAAAATGCAAATTTCGTATGGTTTTAAAATTAAATATAACTTTATAAGAATGATGCAAGTAATACAACCACTGAAAAATTTCACTTTTTTAATTTTAGGTCAGGATGGTATATTGCAGAGTACACTGTTAAGTGGTTTTGGGAGTCCAATAATACTATTATTGATCACTGGAAAGCTTTCACTAATCCTGATGTAGTGAAAATGTTTGATTTGTCTCAAGAAGATTCTGTGTATAACCTCTCTCTAAGCAAAAAATATTGCAAGTACAAAGCATGTGATTCTGATGGCGTCTATAGATTTCCCGAGTGCCGAAAACCAAATGTACAATGTGCAACACTGTTAGCTGACTACCCAGGTAATTTAATAAATTTATTAAAATTTGTGGGAATTTTTTGAGCTATTAAATGCATAGTATTTTGTGATCATGTCCTTTAAAATATATTTTTTAGCTTACTTGTCGAATGAAATTAAAATATGCACATAAAGGGTCTTTTAAATTTCTCAAGAAGCACTTAGAAAATTATTTTGTAACTTTAGAGTTGTTTAGTTTATGCGATGTTTCATGTTTAGCAATAAGATTTATGGCTTTCAAAAGTTTAAGAGACCTACAACAAATTACAAAACAAAACAAGTATTTTTTAACATAGTAGGCCAGAAAATCAAGCAATAAGCTTGTAACTTCTATTGATTACTCTAGTTGTTATTAACAATAACTGTATGAAATGTCATAAACTTAGCTTAAATGTTTAGAGAGATATGGACATTTTTATAAAAATAAAAAAAAATTGTCTTACGGTTTTCTTTGCCCTAACCTTAACCCTTTGTAACTCAACAACTCTGATTTAAGAAATATTTACGCGATGTTAGAATACATCATATTAAGCGTGCAAAAAATAATGAAAAAATCAAGACCTTAAAATTAAAAATTTATTGATAAAAAGCATTTGTTGAACATCTCCAATAACGTGAAAAATAGCACAAAAATTCCATTATATTTAAAACTTCATGTGATAAATTTTGAAGTTGTTGTTTTTATGGTAACAAGGTCTCACACCACATTTTTCAATCCTTCCTTAGCCAAATATACAATCAAGGGGATTGTTGTAAAAAAATTGTATATCCTGCAATTATGTCGTGGAACAATTCTTGCTAAATGCATTATAATATTGGCAGCTGCACCAAGACTTGGTTCCCCCGAGTTTGCAATATTTTCTTTACCTGAATTTAGTTCGATTTTATAGGTAAATCCACGATTTTATAGGATTCGATTTTATAGGATTGAATTTTCATCTATGTTGCAGATATGTAACGCGTTGATACAAAGGGTTAATAATATTCTATAAAATTAAACAAAATTTTTGGAGCAATTTAAAATTAACTACAAAACTATTTTAAAATTTGAAAAAAATTTAATAAAAACTGTGCAAGATATGAGTATTTGAAGTACTTTTCTACGCATGAAAGTTTCATAATTTTGTAGGGAATCGTAATTGGCAATGAGAAAAGTCTGTTTTGAATATCTTAGAAATTTAAGAAGTTTCAAGAAATTTGATAAATAGTTTTTGTAAGTTTTAAACGAAAGCTCAAAATGAAAAGGTGCTTTCCCCAAATTTCCTTTTGTATTATGAAACAAGATTTATAATGACACTGGTAATAACAGCTGAGACGTAAGTGGATTTGCATAAAACCTGCCTGCACCTCAATATTTATGCAAATCCAGTATTCACATGTCTGTTTTAAAGATAAGTACAATATGTGAAGTAGTCAAGTTGTTAGTTCTATTTGAAGTTGTGACAATATGTTACAATGATAGAAACTTAGTGAATTTAAAAGTTTGGTAGTTGGTTGTCACATTAGTGGCAAGTCTATCAGTGAAATAGTGACTGATTTATCTTATCCACCTGCAACTGTTGGTAAAATAGTGAAAAGTAGAAAGCTGCAGGAGTTGGGATATGAACTCTGCAACTTTTGGTCCCCATTTACTTAATGAACTGGACCGGCATTACCTAAAGCAGGAAGTTCATGAGAACTGCATGAAACCTCTTCATATTATTAATAGCGAGTTTTAACAGGTGTTTCTGTGCACCACAGTATTTTGCAAAAAGAACTGCATGCCCTCAATATCCGTGGAAGCATTAATGCATACAAACTCAATATCATGTTATCCAACAAAGTCGCCAGACTTTCTTGATGCAGAAAATCTTGCCACTGAACTATGTTCCACTGGAAAACTGTTTTATCAAACAATGAGTTTCACTACACGCTCGTCCAGTTGGATGGGCGAGTTTGGATATAGCGAATACCACATGAACATTTTTTACCTGAGTGTATAATTCCAACTATCAAATTTGTTGGTGGTTTACTTGTTTGGGAATCTTTGCATGTTGTCTCTGGTAGGTTGAAAACCAAGGCCTGCAAAGATATTCTGGACAATCAGGTTCTATCTACGGTCTGGGAATTTTAGGGAAATGACAAAAGCTACTTTCAATAAGACTTTGTGTCATGCCCCGATCCTATCAAGGAGTAGTATCATGATATGAAATTAAAATGTCCCTGGCTTGGTCATAGTCCTGACCTAAACCCTATAGTACATTGCTCATCAACCTTTTCATCACCGCAAACTGGTCAACGTTTGATGATTTTACTCGCCGAGGGAAGGGCATTGATTGTTTATATTTTAGATTGATTTAATAATCTTAATTGTATTTAAGCATGATTTTGGAATAAAATACATTTACACCAAATATGACTATAAATTATTTTAACTCACTTGAGTGCTAATTCAATGAGACTCATGAGCTCATTTCTTTGAAATGTGACCGTCCCATGTGGGAGCAATATAGACAAATGACACCTGAAGTCTGTTGCTTAGGTCCAGTTTATTCCGTTGTTTTGATTTGGTTGCTGTCACGACAGAAAACCCCGCTTCACAGAGATGGTTTGAATGAAACAGCACTAGACATTTAAGTGCTGTGATGATATGCTCAGGGTAAGCCAGCTTAGCGACCCATACAGGGTTGCCACTCCACAGGGAGAACAGGGAAGACCTGGAAAATACAGGGAATTTAAAAATCACCTAAAATAACAGGGAAAATGCAGGGAATTTCGATTTTTTCTTTACAACTAGGAAAATACAGGGAATTTTGTTTCTTATTTTTATCTTTTAAAAAATGGTGACCGATCAAAGCGTAATCTATGGAATATTTAACCATAATATTTCAGCTATACTAAACTATTTAATTTACTATAGCATTATTTAAGTATGTTCAGCTGTTTTTCCAGTAATTAAAACTAATAAATATAGTTAGTCCAATATAGCTCACTCAAGAGCTCAGTAATTGTTGTTTCCTCTTAATATATTGTGTACAATATGTACAGGGAAAACACAGGGAATTTTTTTTTCAGATTTGAGTGGCAACCCTGCCATACCTTGTCACTGAAATGTTCTGCCCGCGGCTACTTCTTTTCTGAGAGAAATCTTTGCTGTGGCTCTCTTAATTCAAATAATCTGATTAGTGATTTCCCTTTGGATAACCATCATATTTTTGTATATAAAAGAAAGCATCTGTACTCTGTGTCCATGTTCTCACAAAATTGCTCAAACAGGCATAAATTAAGGGTGTGTACTTTGATGTGGTTACTAACTTTTATGACATCAATCAATGTACTGTTAGGTTCTAGTGACATTTCCGGCTTTTCAGCGTTTCCCTGTGAATAAGACAACATGTAGATTCATTCTCAGATCCAACCTCCTTACGGAACCAACGTAGCAACTCGGTTTGTGCATTTGATTGCACAAAAAGACTTATTTAAGTTGTCCTGATATATAAAGATCCAGTGATTTGAGTAGTCCTGTTTTCTCCTGTGGTGCTAGTTAGCAAAAAGAGTGCGCATAACAAATACATATGCGCATCCTCCTGATATTATTATTGCAAATAAACAAGTAGTATTGCTTCATTGTTGATATCTGTAAGATTCGTCAACCTGTGATGTATTTATCCTCTCTTACAATTGTCTCAATGTCTTTGACTATTTTCTCAATGCACTTAGTCTCAGTGCCAGCCAAACGTCTACTATCTCTTCCACAGAAGCTTCTCCTAAAAGTTTACGGCAAATGTCTGTAGTGGAGGGCAAGCTCAATTATTCACCTACAGTGAATTGCTTTTTAGCTTTTGCACTCTACCATCCCGGTAAACCTCTTGTCTGTGGAAAGTTGCTCAAATTCGATAGAAATAACCACAGTAAATAAAAAGGATATAATTTCTTTGGGTGACCCAGCACAATTTGATCCACGAACCGTTATCGGTCTGGAGGTTGGGGACCATTGCTATAGAACATTTATGGGAAGAATTAGTGATGTTTATGGCCCAAAGAACTGCATCCAAACTCTAGAGCCGACATTTGTTAGTAATTTGCATTTCTTTAAAATTCAAGGAGAATTGTAAGTTTTCTTTTTGATATAATTTATATTGGTATTAATATTGTGAAATATATAATAAGATATGAATACTATTGTCACTATAATAGTTCTTTTTCCTCTTCTCTTTTGTTGCTTTCTTCTATGTGAGCATATTGTTTGCCCTGGTAGTCCAGATATCCAATTAAATGTCTGGATATGCTGCTACCATTACTTAGATGTTAATAAAATAGTCTGTCAGTGAAGTGGAAAGGACTGTCAGTTGAATGTTTTCAAATGAACTCACAAAATATTTTTAAGCCATGATTTTGTTAAAGATTTCAAATAATAAGAAGCATAGTGATATTCTATGATTGATTAATGAATATACTCCTGAACTTTGAAAATTAGCAATTTTGACAAAATTGTTGCTTACCTGTTTTCCTGCAATATTTATTTTTGACTTGTGGGGTGACTATTAATGTGAACTGTCAAAATTTTCATGAGAAGCAAATCTAATTTAAGAATGCTAATGCTGTGCACCATTGCTTTTTTAAATTGTGGACTTATTACATATCATATATTTGTTGTAATCATTTTTTCATGCAATAAATAATGTTGCTTATTACTCAGAATAGTCAGGGTTGGATTGACAAGGGGGTACAGAGGGGTACTTGAATAAGGAGCCCATAAAGAATACGCTATTTTTGATTTCATAGAAATGTTTTTAAAAAAAAGCAGTTGCTACTTTATGACGCTAATTTCTCCAACAAGCTAAATATTCTAAAGACTTTCTTTTTTTATTATAACTAGTAAATGTCGGTTCTAGAAAATTGAATATGTTGTAACAAATTGTAGAATTACTGTTCAATTAGTGCCTAATAGCATTGTTATTAAATACTTAACAGGGAACAAGTTATGTTCTTTAATTAATAAATACGAAGTATTAATGTCAGTCTCTGTAGAAATATTTTTCTTTTTTTCTCTTCCATTTTTCTGTAACCTCTTGACTGAGACATTTATCTGAAGAGGCCCCAATGAGTTTATGTTGGCATAACATTTTCACTTGGTTGAGATGTTGTTTCCTATAGTAATTTAAATAATGAAAGTTTTCATGTCTTCAGTCTAATGCATTATATACAGTTCCATAAAAATATATATACAGTTTTATAAAAACATATATACAGTTCTATAAAGACATATTATATCTAATAATGCAATTTTGTAAATTACAATAAAATATATTCTAAAACCATATTAAATAATTTATTCACGCTTTTTAATTTAAATGTATATGGGGTCCCAAGGCCTCACCTTCAGTTACACCTTGGGGATAGTGCAAAGAAATTTATCGTAATTTAGAAGTATGGTCAGCCTTTTACTGTCATAATTATTTTTTACTCCTATTGTCATAATTATTTTTTATTCCTATTGTCATAATTATTTTTTCACTCTTATTTAAATTTATTATGTTTTTATAACTTTAACCTATTTTAAAAAGTTTATATATGCAGCTAGTTTTAATATAAGTTTCTTAATAAATAAAAAGCTTGACCTCTGTTGTTAGAATCTAATTATTTTCTTGTAAATCACTTAGATATATTATTTTCAGTAATACTAATTCCATGCTAAAGCATTTAATGAAAAAGAAATTGTGAACAACAGAAATATTTTGAGTGATTTTCATTTTGTTTTGCTACATAATAAATTGATATTCAATTTTACAGCTTCAAACTTGGAACTGCTAAAAAGAGAAATAGAGAAGCACAAACTTTTGGTAAATATTATTTGGGTTGGAGAGAAACTGGAGGAAATTGTGGAAAAACGCACTGCAACAAATAAAAATACTTTATTTTTTCATCATATGCCTTCCATTTTGAGTGCTCTTGGAAGTTTTGTTCGTGTGTCATTTCCCAATTGTGTAGAAGAGAAGGATTCATCTTGCGAGTTTGAAATAAGTCAGCTGGAAAAGGTGATATAATGTTTATTCTTTAAACTGTTGCTTAGGTTTTTTAGTATTTTCATGCGAATAAATTTATGCTTATTTATAATTAAGTTTAGCTAGGTTGTTAGCAGTTGACTTACTAACTTTCTTGCATAACTTTACTTGGTTTTGACTTTCTTGCACAACAATTTAATAAATTTTTCTCAATGTTATTTGGTGGAAAATTTCTGAATAGAAAAGTTACTAAATTTACCTAGCAAGTTTAAGTGCAATAAACTAGTGATAGGTATGGTGATTTAATTTAGTTCTGCTTTACCAAATTGAATTCTTTTATTTGAAAAAAATATTTTTTATGAAACTTTTATTGCCAGAAATGTGATTTTGAGTCTTTTGTTAGTGAGTGTTATGTGAGATAGAATTAAAAACTATTTTGTAAAATTCATAGTCTAAGCAACTGACGCATGATTAATGAATTGCTGCTAACACCTTATTTACACGAGGACTAAAAAAGAGCTCCTGAAGGCAGTCTTCTGACGTCACAAACCTGAAAAATGGCTTGTCAAATTTACACCTTTCTTGGTGTTAAAAAACACCCCCACCTTACAAGGAATAGCAAAAAATAGCTATGTAACACAAATAGCCGATGATCATCTTGTGCATAAATTCTGGCCTGACTCAAAGTTGTCTTTGCCTGGCAATACTTGCCTGAAAGCAGGTTATGACAATCGAAAGTGAAAAATCAGGTTACTGTTTGTCTTGTCGCGTCACATGTCTGATGTCAAGCCTCATGCAAATGGGAAGTTACAAGCATAAGCAAGGGCCCTAAACTTACCATGTACAACCCTAAATAGGATTCACAAGATTAGTAATTTTAATTTAGCTTTTTTATGTCTTACACTCTCCAAAAAATTAAAATATAGTGGTAGTTCACAAGATTGAAATTTATTAGATTCTGAGATTTGGTGAATAATCTTCATAAAAATAGTAGTTAGCAATGATAATTTTAATTCCTCTCACGTTTAGACATCACATTAAATAAAAAGGGAGTCAATAGAGCAAACCTTGATCTTGGGAAACAGCTTTAAGGCAATTCTAATCAAGTTTCTGAAGGCCATGGGAGAAAACTGATATTGAGTGCTTTGAAAATCAATCTGTTAAAGGGTGCATTTTTCTGATTGGGAAGATGACAAGTAAATTAGTTAAGCGGAAGAGAAACAGCAAAAGGTTTTGGAAATAGTTTGGTTTGAAAACAGCCGTCTTTATTGATAAGAACTTTCCAATTGCGAAGACAATCATTGAATTCTTTTTCAATCATAAATTGAATGTGTCTATATAATATAGATTGTTGACAGCTTAGTTAACTTCTGACTGACTTTCATCTAACTGTACAAAACAATCACCAGCATATCAGGTATAAAATAATTAAAAACATGCCAAATAATTTAAGTTTAAAATAGTGCATATAAATATTGCTAAGATAGGACTCAATAGTTATCCATGATCATCCTATTGGTCATCTTGTCAAAGTTATCTTTAAAAATGGAAATATTCTGAATAAAGTACTGTCCGTGAGATGGATGAGTTCATAGATTTCAAACTGCAAAACATGATATTCACTCAATCGTTTTTAAAAGCAAGACATAGAATATTAGTGAAGAGTTGGCATCGATGGAAAACATGAAATGATCCCCGGGTTAAATATTTTTTAGTTTGTTTATAAATTCTATGGAGTGTTTCTAACAAAATATTCCTTACTTTTGAAGATAGGTGAATTATTTAGAAAGTTTATAAGAAGCTTTCGTAATGTTAACAACAATTGATCTAAACGGAGTACTAGGCCTGTGAACTTTGGGTACTGTGTAAAATCTGGCACAATTAGCAGCAGGCTCAATTTTTTAGAGTAATTCAAAATGATCACTAATATATTTACAATTTTCTTATTAGTAACCAAATCTTTATGTGTACTATGCAGTAAGAAACTTCATCAATTAGGATTTGGAATTTTTGGAGATAATTAGTTTTGTCCAATTTGACCACCTTCATCTTTTCCGTCCACCGTTATCAGCTTTAGGGGTGATGATGTTTAGGTTTAAAGTAACACTCTTAAAATTCTTGTACATCATCTTAGTTTATCTAGAGTGTACAAAAATAGCTTACCCTTCCCCCCCCTTTTTTTTTTGCGTGTGTCATTTTTTTCTTTATCATCCCTGTTTTTAATGGTCCCAACCTGTCTTCATGTTGGTGAAAGTGCACCAAAACACATCAATGCTTTTAATATTATTTATTTATTTGTTTTGTAATTTTAATGTTGTTCTTATTCAACCTTCTGTTTTATAACTATATTACATAGAATTATTTTATAATTTTCTCTTTGCGTATACTATGTGTAAATTTTAGTGTATAAATTTTTCTATCAGATATTAATAATTATTTTTCAGGTAGTTTGGTCAAAGATAAAAAGTCATGCTCCACATGCTTTCCATGTATTGAGAGCTATTGAGTTTAATCAGGTGCAATATTTAGATATGTTAAAGAAGTATCGTGATGGACTACCTCGTGGCATAGGAGTGTTTGATCAGGCATGCAAGTGGGTTAACAGTCACACACATATTTGGAGTTTGTGGATGCCTGGCCTTGACAAAACCACATTATACATTGGAGGAATTTTTCCTTTGTCTGGAGTATATATGAGGCAAGCTAGTGTAGTAGAAGGTGAGACAATTTCTGAATTTCTTTCAGTTTCATCACTACTTAATCTATAAATGCTCAAGTCTAAATTTTTCATTTCATAATACTCCACAACATTTTAACATTGTGGAATCAACTGGACGAATATTAAAAAAATCTCATCTAAAACATTTTCTAACTTAAAAAAGTAAAAAAAATTGCCAAACTTTAAAACTTTTTGTAAATTTTCAAAATTAAAATAAAACTATCGAAATCTAAAACTATGTTAGAATTCAGGGAAAGAGTATTCTCATAGTTTTATTTACTAAAATATTTACTGAGTGCAAAATAATTTATTCTCCTGAGTCTTACGACTTATATATTATGTAAAGCTACATTTGAGGGACATTTAACATATCTATTTGAACGGAATACTTCAGATGCGTTGTCTTTGATAAAATTTAAAGAAAATAATACTTAAAATTTGTCAAATTCATGTAGATGTCCCCCCCCCCAAAAAAAAACTGTGAGCATTAATATGTTATCATTGTAGATTTTCTTTTTTGTTAATTTATAACTGATAAAATGAACCAATTTTTTTAAAAAATTTAACTTATAAGAATTGTTAACTAACTTTGCTAACTAAAAGTTTATGAGTGTTATAATATAATTATGTATTAATAATTAATAGTGATTAATATTTTTATTGTAATTGCTATTAATTGCAAAACAAATAAAATAGATTATGAATCCTGAAATTTCAGTTTTACTTTTTTAGCTGCTGAAATGGCTATTAAGCAAATCAACAAAAATCACACTCTACTAGAAAACTATCAATTTAAACTTCTGCAACAAAATGGACAGTGTGCTGCTGATGAGGTTATGCAAAGTTTTATCAATTATGTGACTAATTCAACATACAAGACGATGGTTGGCATTTTAGGTAAGATTTAATAAAACCTCTTTTTACTTACTCTGGACATACCCGGAAGTTTTTCCGATGTAACTCAATGGTGTTCTTGTTTAACAAATATGTTACTCATGTTTCAATTTCTTAGAAGCTGCTGTATAGAAGTAAATGCTCCCCACACCTGGAGGCTTAACACTCAGATGGTTATATTTGTGCTTTTTGCATTTGCTTAGAAACTCTCTACCTTGAATAAAGGATATAAACTAAAATTTTATAGATTTGTTTTGCCGTCTCACTACAACAAATTAGATAGTTTAAAACATATCAAGTGGACTCTTTTTGCTGATAAACTAAATATTAGAAATTTTTACATCTCATACTGCTTAGAGCAAAATGAAAAATAAATCTTTTTTCAGTGTTTTTGAAATTTATGTTGTTTGCATTTAATCACTTTAAAATCAAAAGTTCTTATTTGGTACTTATTTTAGGTCCTGCATGTTCTGATACAGTAGAGCCTTTAGCTGGTATTGCTAAAAAGTTTAATACTCTCATAATAAGTTATAGTGCAGAAGGAGCTTTATTCAACCATGAAAAATACCCTCATTTTTTCAGAACTATTCCTGAAAATAATCATTTTACGTAAGTGTTCTTCAATTATTTATATATATATATATATATATATTTATTTGTTAGCTTGCTTTTTAAATTACAGGAATAATTTTCTGTGATACAAGCTTCTAAGTATGTTCGAGGAGCATTTATATTCTTTTACTTTTTAGATCTGTTTATTTGAAACTATTTGAAAAATTGAAATATTCAAGAGTAGCTGCTTTGACTGAAGATGGACAAAAATATCCAGAATATATTTCACGTTTGCAGGACGAAATGCAAAACCGTAAAATGAGTTTTATTGTCAATAGAAAATTTCCTAGAGAAAGAGAATCACTTGAAATGCGACCTTACCTGGAAGATTTGAAAGAAAAGGGGGCAAAAATTATTATAGGAGATTTCTATGATTATGCTGCTCGAGCTGTTATGTGTGAAGCTTATAAATTGGTAAGTTAATTTGCAAATTTTAGGCATTGATCATTTGTATAGGTCATTTACAATAATTATTTTAGTTTAGAAATATATTTGGTTCAAAATGAAAAAGTAACTATCCTAGTTTGATGTTATAAAGTTTCCAGTATGAATGTTTAATTGAGTGTGAACAATGGCAAGATTCTAAAACCAGTAATCTTAAGAACTTCTGCTGTACCCCTCTACTTGAGTTATATTTGTGAGACAATGAATGAGCAGGTTTGATATTCTTGGAAGTTTCATAAATGAGATTTTATTTAAATTTTCTCATAGTTTATCATTTGTAAAATTTGTCTGTGTTTTATAATTTCTAAAAGGTTGTGAGCCGAAAATCAATTTAAAGAAATTAATATCATGACATGAATTGCAAGGGTTGCCAGATTTTCAGTATTTTCAGTTTTTTGTTTTCTGCTAAAGTTAAAGGGATTTGCAAATTAAATAATAAATAGCTTAAGTTATATTGTAAACATCACAAGTACAATAACAGTATAAGATGAGTTTTTTAAGTTTTTATGCAAAAATAAATCAGACATAGTAACCCAAATGGTCCTATTGCCACATATAATGCTATTGTCCGGTGGTCTAGGACTAAGATTAGCTCTGTCAGGTCTTGTCTTAACAAACTGCAAAGAATGGTCTGTGTAGCCTTGTCAAACTGTCTTAGGGCCACTCCCATGGCTGCTCTTGAGAGCTTACTTGGGTTTCTCCCGTTGAATTTCCACATTGAAGCTGAAGCTCAGACAGGTATGTAACGTCTTATGTTCCTTGTTTTAAGGAAGGAATATTCTAAGCACTTGTCATGGGGTCCTGCTTTTATTATGCTTAGTGATTATATGTCACTAAGATATGCTTTCCATAAGCCCTCCAAGATCCATTTTCCTACTAGAGATGAATGGCTCAAATCTCCTTGGTGGCTTAAAGGCAACTGTCTGGTATGGTACATCGATTGATCAAGGTTTAGTCTTAATTCAGGGGCAGGAATCTACTGCTTCAATGATGGTACCAAGCTCCACTTTCCTACTTACCTCTAGGTAGTTATGCCACTGTTTTTCAGGCTGAGGTCTATGCTATCATCTTGTGCTACAGGATATGCTTAGACCGGGATTATCTATACATACCTATCCACATCTGTTCTGACTGTCAGGCTGCTCTTATATCATTATCAAGGTGTAAATTCACCTCTTCACTAGTATGGGAGTGCTTCTCGGACCTCTGTAACCTTTCTACTCGTTACAAGGTTTACCTACATTGAGTGCCTGGGCATGTGGGTATTCCTGGTAATTAGTTGGCTTATGAAGCCGCACACGCTGGCTCCAGTGCGATTTTCTGTGGCCCTTATCCAGCTTTGGGAATTTCTCCTACATCCTTCAAGGCATCTATATTCAAGCTCTGGTGAAATTGCCCATGAGCAGTGGCACAACTCGGATGGTCAGAGACGAGCTAAATTGTGCTTCCCCTAGAGTGCATCAAAAAGATCTTCTTGAACTATACAGGAACAGTTAGAAGATCATTGGTCTTCTCACTGGACACTGCACCCTCAGGAGACACCTACACATTATGGATATTGAATCTGATTCTCTTTGTGAAGGTTGTCATCTTGAGGAAAAGACTTCACAACATATACATTGGGATTTTGAGGTCTATTCTGCTCAAAGATTTGAGCATTTAGGACAACATTGCATTAAAGCCTGGGAATTGCAAGATATTCCTGTCAGGTGTTTGCTGAACTCCTGACTCTTCAGCTATAAGCTCTTTCGCAAATCATGATTTAGCGTTTGGATACAATAGACCTTTGATCGATGTGCCCTGCTCTTTGGAGCTACGCGGTAGATGGTCATCCAAATGGCTCTCGTGAAAGTTTTAACCACTTGTGCTGCGCTTTGTATGTTTACTTTACCACCTATCTTTAATATAATGCTAAGACTGTAATTCGATATTACAGCATGTTTTAAGGTACAATATTTGCTATATGCTTTAAAAATGTATTTTAAAGCTTTTTAAACATTAATTTTTATAAAAATGGCTATATGAAGAAATTTTAAAGCACTACATAACATCATCAATTGAATGTCATGAATGTTTAAATAATTTTTGCTTAGCATTAACCTATAATTCTAGGCTAAAATTGATTATAGTAAATTTTTGCATTCTAAATCTTTTAATTTATGTTAAGAGCAGAATATATAATAGCAATTTATACATTTGAAGCATCTCTAATTTAACAGTATAAAGATAAGTATTTGTTTTACAGTTATCAATATTTATTTTGTTTAGTTTTTCTTAAAAACATATGCTTAAATACCAGTTCTATGCAATATTATTCTCTATTAGCTAAAATTTACATATATATTCCTAACATCATGAAATATTTTCTTGGTTTTTCTACTTTTAAGATTAATAATTGAAATCTAGTTTTAATTACGATATACTCTTATTTGCTCATTAAATTGTAAAGGATGGATGTTGAACTGAGTGGCTAATAAGTAATTGGAGCTACCACCATTGAAAAATTCTTATAATTTTCCTATAAAAATTTATAAAATGTTAATGAAGAGGGGGAATGAAAGGGTCATCAAATCATAATTTAGTTTTAAAGTAAAGAATAACCTTTACCTTAAATTACTTATTTAATACATACTTCTCATTGTCAAATATGGATATTTGTTTTAAGGAGAGAAAAAAACTTATTAAAGTATTGCAGAGAAAAGTAACTTGATTTCATTTTTTTTTCAGAAGCAAATTTGTGCTAATATTATTATGTTATTTTATTTTTTGTATTATTGTTTTCATAAGTAGCCAAGATTAAAAAAAATAGAATATTAAAAGTACCATATTTACTCACTACTTCTCCTATTTAAGAATTATGTAGGTTTTTGATTGGAAAAGTGAATATTACCTATTGCAAAGCTCTATATTGCTAAGAAATCTATATGACATAAAAAATTTTGTTATTTTGAAAAGATTTAGAATATAAAATATATGTCTTTTATTAACATAATGATCACACAGATAACTCAGTCATTACATCTGCAAACTGTTTCATAGTTAATTTGATGGTTTTAATAAATCTTTAGTTTTATTAAATTTGTCTAAACTTCACTTTACCAGTCAGTTCCGGGGCTTGTGACTCCTTAATTCGTCCTTGCTTTGCCTGATGCAGACAAAAATTGCTATGTATTAAAATTAAACTTGAAAAATATATTATACATTAGCGAGTAGAACCCTTAATTTATAACTTTTTTTATGATTTTTACATTTTTATCCTGTGGTAATTGTCTTTATCTTTATTTTAAAAGATAAAATGTAATTCAATCTACCAAATTTTTTACATTTAAATTTTTAGGGCATGACTGCAGCCAAGGGATATGTATGGTTCCTTCCACTTTGGTTTTCAACCAATTGGTTTGATACAAGCAAAGACTCAAATCAAAATAGTTCATCATCATCTGGTTTAGGACAGGTTGATTGCACTACTCGAGAAATGTGGGATGCTATTAATGGGCATTTAAGTCTTGCTTATAAGTTTTATGCTGATGACCATGAAATTATGCAAGAAAAAATTACTGTCTCAGCCTGGCTAAATAATTATGTGAATGAAAGTAAAGAAAAAGTAAGTAAAATATCTTTAATTTGAGTAAAGGGCAAGGGGGCAGTGAGGGGACATTTCCAAATTGTTCAAGAGAACATTTTTGGAAAGAAAGAAAAGCACAACAGTTTCTATGAAGGTTAAAAAAGTTTCTGTTTATTGCCTGATATCTAGTATAAATTACAGATGCATTTTAAGTACCTATCTGGAAATGTTACTGAACTGTTTAATGTAAAATAATCGTCTATGTAAAAAGTGTGGATTATAGCTATATTCTCCCAAGCCCTTCAATTATGTTTACAATCTTTTTATAAAATGTTTCTAAATTTTTGTGTATGTTGCTGGGAAAATTAAATTTTAATGCTTTATATAAACGTTTAAAACACAGAAATGTTAGAAGCAAAAAAAGTACTTACTTTGTAGCATTATTACATCTGAAAACATCCATCTTAAGGACTCAATTGCACATTTGTCAAGATAAATATTTTTAATACATTTAGAAATAAATTGTTATAAAAAAACCTAATAACTTAGAAATCTATAAAAAAATTATTATTTTTTAGTGCTCCTAATGAAAATGATTACTGTTGAAGGTACTTTTTGAAATCGGGGGAGCTGTAAACTAGTATTTTTGGGAGGGAGAATTTCTACTTTACCGAATAGAAGTTGGGATTTGACTGAATCATAAATTAGAGTAAATTTCATCTACTTCAATAAGAAACTTTAATTAGTCTGTAGTTAATATTTTCACAACCAATTGATTTTTGCCACAAATGTATTTCTCATTTAACAATTTATACTTAATTTATTATACTCATAAAAGAGCCGGGGTGGCTCAGTGGTTAAGACACTAAACTGTTATTGTGAAGAACTGGTGTTCGACCCCCTGGCTCACTGACGGCTTGAAGCCCTTGACCCAACTCTGATCAAACTGCCACAATCAGGCTGTTAGTCAAGAAATTGTGGAATCTTATACTCAAAGAGCCAAAATTCAAATAAATAATGGACCATTTGATGAATAAATATAAAAAAAATAATAAATCAATTTGCAACTAAACGAAGAAATAATATGTCATTATCATGAATCAAATAATAAATAATTAGGAAATGGAATGCTGAATAGAAATGAAATATCTTGAAAATGGCCCATTTGTTGCACCAGCTGTAAACCAAGAAAATGAAAATTCAAATCTGAAAAAGTTAAATTGACTCTTTTATTTTTACACTGCGGTAAATAATCAAATTCAACCTGAAGGAAAACTAAATTTTAAATAAGATATATATGCTTTAAAATTCCAATAAGAAAATTTGAATTTGAAAAATTGAATTCCTTTAAAATGACTGAAAACTTAGAAAGTAGGAAGGAAAAAGAGAGTAGGAGGTCACACATGACACGTCATATGAGCGATAAGGGAGAGAAAGGCACAAAAGTTAAATGCAAAGAATGAATCAAAGTTCAAAGAATTCGCAATATTAATTTAGATAAATCTTAACATCAAGTCCCCTAATTAAAATATTTCCTTTTTTTTTTTTGATGAAAAAATTTTTTCTTTTTTCCAGAAGACAGAAAAAGTTCATATTTTTTGTCAATCTTTTGAGTTATATATTTGAAATAATCATAATTTTGAAATTTGATAACTCCGAATCGAATATGAAATTTTAAACAAATGTGTTTTTTTTAATCTTTATTCATAAAAGTATCTCGGCTGCAAAAATTTTTATTTTTATTTTTCTGCAATTAAATTTTGTGAAAATCCGAAAATCTTAAAACTATTTCATTATTTCAAAGCTAATTTGAAATTTAAACAAATTAAGACGAAATACTTATTAACAATAATAAGGATACATGGCTTCCAAAAAAAATCATAATTTCCTTGCTAATAGTTTTCACTAAAGTGAATTATGTGGCACATAGAAAGAAATTTTTAAATTTGGTGTAAAATAATTTTAAAAAATAACTACATCAAAGTCATTTTAATGGTTACATAATCTTCAATCAATTCTCTAGAAATGCGCAAAATATTAAAACGTTTTATGTAATATTTTTAAGAGTTTTGTCAGTGAGAAACATGCTTGCTGATAATTTTTTGAAACGACGGTGCAGCATTCACCTATATTACTAACCAATCTGTATTTATTTATTGTTACACTTTTTAAATTTTTCTTTTTCATAAAAGAAATTTTTAATAAGTGTAACAATAAAGAATTTTGTGCCCCCTTTCAAAAATTTTCTCCACCCCATGCCTATGCAGCGACCTCCTGTAACTTCCTATCCCCGTACCCCTGTGTGGAATCACTGAAATTCACTATTGTGTACAAAAGAATTTATATATTTCTGTTGTCAATACACATTAAAAGTAAATTTTGAAAACTTGCTCTAGATAGGATTGCTAACAAATGTGTTAATTGACCACACATGAAAATATTTTTTGACATTTTACATAGAAATACTTAGCTTCACTATATATGATCACTTAAACTTAAAAGTAGAATGTTTGATAATTTACAAATAAATAAATTGGAATAGTAATATGTTGCTCACTTTAAATTAATATAATATCTATAACTTTTCTTGCTGGTTTTATGATATTGCATTAATTTATAATGTCATATCACATATATTGTTCATATAGAATTCATATAGTATATTGTTTTATGATATATCATAAATTTTTTACAGTAATTTAGTTACGTAAAAAATTTACTTACTTTTTCTCATTGGTTTTCCTGTTTTATATATTATTACATAAAACATAGTGTCACATAAAAAACATATACATTAATCTATGTTTTATAGTAATGTAAAAGGAGCTCATAATATTAGATTTTCCCCCCTATTCTAGGGAAAGGAAATAAGCCATTATGGAGGTTATGCTTATGATGCAGTATGGGTTTATGCTTTAGCACTGGATGCTTTATTAAAAGAAAATAATTCTAACATTGCTACTCTTCACACTCCAAGGACAGCTAAGTATGGGATTAATAATTTATAAATTTATGTGTCAACGTTAGTTTTAAAATAAAGCACAAGAAAAAACATCAACTTTAAATCATTTGTTCAATGCATAGTTAATTAATTTTTCTTTAACTTAATAATTTTACATTTTTATAAAGAGAAAATAAAATATGTAATGCTTGATTTATTTATTTTCTCATGATTTTGTTTGAGTTTCTTTTCAAAATTGGTTATTTGTACTTCATGTTTTTTTCCTGGACTTCTATACAAAACCATCGGGGTACTGAGGGAGTTAATTTAGGCATTTGCTTCTCCCTTAATAGAAATGGTTTAGTTTTATGGCTACCGGGGCCGGTGCCCCCTGAAGACGTTGGCTTCGGTGGTCATATTTTTATTTTTATTTCCTTCATTTCCTTTATTGCTACTTTTATTCCTTTTTTTCAAATTTCTGCTGCTTTTTAGCGCGTTTTTTTTTTCAAAGAAGTTTTATCTATTTAGAATATAAAAAATGTTTTGTTTTCTTTTAATAATGCTTGATTAATTTTGTCTTATTTATTTGAGTCAAGCTTCTTGTAACTTGATTTCATATTGTTTCCTAAATAAATATGAAATTTGTTTATTTAAGCTTTCTAAATTGATAGACATGAGACATGTTTTCATTAATGTCAATATTTTCCTTTAATATATTGACATGCTTCATTATTGACATACAATTGCTTCATTATGACCAAGCAACTTTAATTTGTTCTAACTCTTTTAAGATAAGTAAATATGATATTTAAATGCCTCATATTAGAATTTTTTTTATTAGAAATTAACATTTGTAGGGGTAAAAGAAATCCCAAATGAGAAGTTTCTTTTCCTACTTAACCAAGGTCTGCGCTAAGGACTTCAAGTTACTAGCCAGTAAATTAGCCAAATATCGAAAGTGTTAGTCAAATTTCAAAAGTCTTAACCACAAGCAAATCTTAATAAATTTTTATGATTACTTTTTTTCCCAAGAAAAATTTTAAATTAAAATACAAATTTACTATAAATTGAACTATTTTAAAAACACAAATTCAAATCAAGAATCATTTTACAGTTGAAGAGTAAATGAGCAATGAATGAGGCAAATGATCAAAAATGTAGATGTTTTATCATCTGTGAGGAAAGGCAATAAGAGTAGGTTTGGGTTAATTTTTTATAACATCTTAGGCTACTGCAGTAATATAAAGATAAAATTGAAGCAGCATTTGATATTTTTATGTATTTTGCCTATCTTTTAAATGAATGTATTTCATTTTAAATAAAACGTTTCATTCTTTAAGTAATTTATTTTTTAAATGTGCTTACTTTTTACTGTCGCGATTGTAATCATTCAGAAAAAAATAATCAAGTTGGAAGATAAGTTATTTGAATCATTTTATAGGTTTTTTTACTACTTGCAGAGATTCTTTAATGAAATTTGGGGGGGGGNTTCATTGCCAACAGTGTGCAGGTGGCTATACTATGTCATTGAAACTTTGTAATCTATAAAGATAAAATTAAAGTTAAATTTTCTTAATTTAGCAACATTTTTTATTATCATTTTAGCAACATTTTTTATTATCATTTTAGCAGTATTTTTCTTATTTTTAAATTTTACGATAAGTTTATTTTGATAAACAATATGTTATTGTCATGAGAACACATATCATCTAGAAAAGTAGTTGGTTGATAATATGCATCTAGCCCTGAGCCCGCAATGAACTTGTTAATTTATATTTTAAGTTTTCTTTTCTTTTTTCCTGATGCTTATAAAATCTCTCTTCTTGCTTACATTATCTGGACTTAATATAACTCTTAATTAGTTATGCAACTTATAAGCAAATCACTGTAATCGAATAAAAAATAAATATTTTTCTTTGCAGTAGAAGAGAAATTGTTCGCCAATGCTTTTGCGGAAACACAATTTGTTTCACCGAATTTATGATTTTATTGCATTTGGTTAAGTGGTGAATGCTTAGCGCAGGCCCTGCTTATCCTACAATAACCTTGATGGTGTTGTGTTGATGCAACTGCCAATATAAATGTTTCTGAAAAATGTACTATGAAGAAATTTTTGAAGCAATTGTAATATCTATTATCTCCTTTTACATTTTTTTTCTTGCTTTTAAAATTGTTGAATATTTTTATTTTTGAATATGGAAAATGCCAAAATATATTCCTGGTAAACTATAATTTTTAAAATTTGCTTGTTTGTAGTAAATCACAGTAATATATGTAGCTTATAATATCATTCTTACTTTTTTGTTCATGTGCGAATGAATCTTTTTATAAAAGTTATTAAAATAACAATATTTTTTGCCAAAATAATTTTATATCATTTACTAAAATTGTTCTAAAATAATGTTAGCTGTTTTTTGGTCTTGTTTTCAGTCGTTTTGTCCACTTTATAAATGAAACAAACTTCAATGGCGTCAGTGGACCATTAAATTTCTCAGGATCTAGTCGAATATCTGATGTTATAATCTGGCAGTGGATAGATAATGTTACACATCAAGTGGGAGTTTACCATCCTTCACAAATAGGTGGTGATTTAGAATTTAATGAAACAAAAATAGTATGGTTAACCCCTAATGGAGAAAAACCACATGATGGGAGTATGAGTAAGTTAAATCTCTATTTTAAATTTGTGCTAATCCATTCAAATGTTTTTTTCTTATATCTCAAAAACTTTTCTAACCATAGTTTCAATCTATCAATTAACTAATTTTTCAATCGCGTTTTCGACAGTTATTACGTTATTTATTGTTTTTTCAGTCAATTCGTCATAATTTTTAAAATAACAATAATTTTTAATACATAATTATTACAACTCTCGACATTTTCAAAATTCGAGAATTACATTCAATTTAAAAACTGATTTATAGAATGGGCGAATTTAACTGATTAGTTATTTTTACGTTAAACTATATTTCTTAAAAAAAATAAGAGTTTTTTTTAAGGTTAAAATTGAAAACTTTGGATATTTGGATTTCTTAAAAACTATACAAATATTTTTGAAATACATTTCCCTTTTTTGTGGGAATAAAGAACAATTTTCAGTTTCTAGCGTCTTGCCTTTTTTTAAGGTCTAGAATGAACCGTGTAAGAGATACATTAGCGTTGATATACATGTGTATATGATAGTTTTACTTTTATCTTATTCTTCAGTATTTTCCATCCTTTTTTTATGGCTGACTGTGTTTTAAAATTAATTATTTTTATCTTAAAATTGCTCTTTAATAGTGTTATTTGCTTAATCTTACAACTCAATTACTAAAAATTCAAACATATGTTGCTGTAATATGTCATTTTTTTAAACAAATCCTAAATTTTGCTTATACAATTTGTTGCGATTCTGCTATGAATCTCAGAATTTGGTGCTCAAAAAATTGCTCCAAATTGAAGTGTCTCACTTCCCACTCCCTGGTTTTATGAACACCAGGGTCAAATACGCTGAATGTAGACTCATTTGATGTTATTCAAGCAGGCAAGTATGAATTTAAATCTGAAAAGAAAACAGAAATTTAGTTTTTCTGTGAAAACAGCAGTATATGAGTTACATATGAGAGCAATATAGTTTTAGTAATCAAATTTCTGAATGATTGTAGTGGCAAAATTTTCAATGCATCTTTAAAATCAACCTCCTTTTTGGCCAATTTTTTATTATTGTACCTTCAACATGTTGGTTTTTTTTGTGGGGGGGAGGAGATATATTTTTTGAATTTTCTCAGTTTTCCTCTTTGACCACTCTCATTCGTGATATCCCAAAAATCAAACTAATATAGCTGAATTTGATGTAAATGTTTACAGAAATTGCTCTTACTCTACTGTGTAAATTGTATCATTTGTCTGTTGCAGACATGTTATCTACTGATTTCAAATGAGTGAGTGAATCTTTGAAAATGAAAAAAAAAATCACTTGCTTTTGGAAATCCTGTTCTTTGATTCTATTAACACTTTTTCACAAACCCTTAGAATTAGTTTCAATTTGTTTTCTAAGAACAAGGAGTCTAAATTATGTTAATTTGTTTTAAGTCTGCATTCCATTTAAATAAGCTATACTAAAATTCAACCGTCCTGTAATACTTTAAATATCTGAAGTGCAGGGAACTTAGCTAGATTTTGAGTTAAAAAATGAGATATAATACATGTATTGTTGATTATTAATTACATAACTAATTTTGGTTTTATTCTTAGGAAATGATTTATATTAGTGATCATAAATGTGGTTTATGATTTTAAATATTATGAGTTAAAATTAAATGAAATATTAATTTAAGCCTGATGCTCTTTTTTATTGTTGTACCTTAAATTTCTCTTTTTTTTTTTAATACAGAGAGTACAAATCAGAACTCAAACTAATCTAAATCTTGCTTGGATGGCATTAATATTTGTCAGCAAAGTTTTGAAATGCTTTTTTTCAATTAAAATTGCTTAAAATTTGATCAGACTTCTTTCATTACATTGAAAAATAGTTTAGTAATATGTTTCAGGAAAAATTATAGAACTGCTTTTTAAATTCCCATACTATACAATAAATATAAATCTTAATTTAGGCAAAGTTATTAAACTTTAATAGGTTCAAAAGAATCGTTTTCAGTTAAATTTTTTTCTAAGTTTTAAAGTTGAAAATGTGCTTAAATAAATCATTTCTTACAATTCTGTTAAGTTTAATGTATCTAATTTTGGAGAAGAAAAAATTTTTTCTTCAAGAAAACATGGTGTTTGGTTTGTTTTATTCCTATGTTTTTCAAACTGAAAATCGAATTTAATACAGTTGCTGTTTAAACTTCAGTTTAGTTTGCAATTTCAACTCTAGATAGTTTTAAAGATTTTAAACAATAAATTGTTGAGATTATCCTGGAATATTTCAATTTACTCAAGCTGTTTCTGAATGGTTCAATTAATGTTATGTTTTATTCATAGTGCATACCAAGTAATTGTAAAATGGGAAATTTTTATCTATAGCCAAAAATCCCTGTTTTTTCAACTTTTACATAAGTTAGTAAATTTATAGAAAAAATAAATATAAATGAATTTTTAAAAGATTTCCAGTAATAAACAATCTTTTTACTCTTCCAAGATTGTATGGTATATGTTTAAAACTATTTTTTAATCAAAGATTGTGTTAAAACAACTCAGCTTGTATATCTCATGAAGGGATGGAAAATAATTTATGCTTGATAAGCTTAAGTAGCTTTACAATTTTTTATGTCTTAAAACCTAACATAATTACTATGCATTCTTATAGTACACTTTATGTATGCAACAAATTGATATGTAAATCATTTTTATGAACAATTTGCGACTATCATCTTCATTTTTATACTCAATGTACCTAAAACAATTCAAACTTTTAATTTTAGATCTGAATGATTGTGCTCTGGCAGGTTTGAGCCAATGGCTAGGAATTACGTGTGACAACGCAACAATGCTAGTTTATATTATTGGCTCTCTTGGCTTAGCATTTGTTATGATATTTGGTGGTGGTTTTATTTTAAAAAAAAGGTAACAATATATTAAAATATTCATAGCATATTTATGTCTTGTTAAACTTATTTAGGATTTTACTTAAATGCTTACTCTTAAAATTAATTTTTGAGTCTAGAAAAACTCAAGTTTGAAGTATGAGTTTTATTTAAAAAGGCGTTTTGGAAAAAGTCCTCTCTAACAGTACAATTGATTTTTTTAAATGATGTATTTTCTTTCAATTTGCATTATGCTCATTTTATAAATTTGCTTTAATGCATAAAAATATATTAAGTGATGTACAAATTTTTATTACTATAGTTCCTGAAATATATGCTGCAATATTGCCACAGCCTCAAAAAATAGGCTACAAACTTCAAATATCCTTAGAAACACTGCATCAACACAGTTGTTTTATTTATGCTTTTATTCTTAAAACTGACACATGTATAGACAAGCCTACTTTAAATTCCATAATAATACATCATTAATTTCTAAGAAAGTTTACATTCACATTTTATATTTAGGTTAACCTTAAAATTAGCATACCAAACTCTAGGGCCACCACAGAATAAAGTTAAGAAGAAATAGGATTAAAAACAATAACAAATTTGACAAATAATCAATTGGAAAATACCTTAAAAATTGCAACCTCAAATACAGGGAAACCTTTCGGATAGACCACCTCTATGTAACGACCACTTTTAAGAGTCACAGAATTTTTTCCTTAGACTTTGTGTTGAGGAAAACCTTTAGGAGAGTCCATCAAAGCCTCTCCCAGTAACCGGGCAAGCATCTGCACCAAATGCGGAAAAGGTCAAATAAGGCAACACGAAAGAAACCTCAAAACAAAAAATTTAACAAAATAAATAAATAGATTAAATTGTATTCAAAATATTTGTGTGAGGCTGTTATTTAAAGAGCTCTTCATGACAATACAACCTCGTGTTACTACCACATTTTGCACTCAGAGTGCAGTAAAGAAGATTCTCTCAATGAAGTGGGAAATTAAAAAATAAAAAAAAAAGTTTTTTTTAGAAAAACAAGCATCTCAAACAAGCATCTTCTCATCTTTTAAAGCTAACTAATTTTTATGATATAAAGTTAATAGCAAACTTAAACAAACAACATTGTTGTATATTTATTTAAAATAGCTTTATCATTCATAATTGGCAAATTTGTTTTTATGCATAATTATATTAGTTGTGATCATTTTTATAGCCGCTAAATTTTATTCGTCGATTCGTCTTTTCATGACGCCAACAGAAGTTGCATTTCCGCACCAAGAAAATGACACTGACTAAAATTAAAATCGTTTTTGAAAACTCATGTACCTTCGATAATAATTTTGAAGTCAATGGAGGTAATCTCTAAGAACGATCAACCTTCTTCAACAACCATTTCGCTGTGGAACGGAGAGTAATCGCTCCCAAGTGGTTTTACTGTTTATCACATTATATTCATGCTTTAATTTAACAAAACCATTTAGCAAACTTGACAGTAAATTTAAAATTATAATTCATTATTTTTGTATTATAAGTATTTATTTTTATCTGTTGCACTGTAGATATGTATAGTATCTCAGTATAATCCTTTTTCTCCTGTTTCAGACACTAACAAAAAAGGATAAAAATTTCTTGTAAAATTGATTCTTATTTTAATGAATTATCCTTCTTAGTATTTATTATTTCTATTTTTAAGAAAAATAACAACAGGCCACAAATGATAAAATTTAGTAGCATACGCTAAAAAGAAATACTATCTCTCTCCCACTAATGAATTTATTGATGTGATCCTCTGGAGCAAAAGGTTGAAGACTCTTATAGAGAAGTGACGATTAACATCTATAACAATACTTTATTTTAGCTGCGTAATTATGGACAAAGATCATATTTTGTATTTGCATGACATTATTGACCGACTATCTTGCTTACGAGAATTGCAAATTTTTTTATTTTTTTTATGGTAATATGGTGGCGCAGTTGGTAAAGATGTTGCTAACTTCACTCCACTGGAGGCTGAGGGTCGTAATTTTGATCCTGGAAGCAGTAAGGTGCATGTTAAATCTGTCGTGTTTAAAAATCGCTCGTTGGTTGTAATGTGCGGAAGTTAAGAGAGAGTGTTACAAGCCCGCGTGCTGTCCATGTAGTCTGACTGGGTCAAAATTCAAATTGAATTATTTCTTAAGACTTCTTTTCTGAACTGTTTTCTTAAGGGTTGCATTTAAAAGTATCTATTTTATTCTAGTTTTTATAGATTATATTTCTAAAATAAAAGCTGTGAGGCAAAGCTACTTTCAATGATTAATTATAATTTTATGTTACATTATGTTTTTTATGTCATTCTTATTATAGTGCAAAGTTTATTATGTTTAGATATGAGGAAAAAATAAAAAGGACTGAGGATCGAATGAAAGAACTTGGTCTGAATGCCAATAATGGTCCTTTTGCATTGGATGAATGGGAAATACCTCGCGATCAAATTGTTATAAATCGAAAAATTGGGGAAGGAGCATTTGGTGCTGTTTTTGGAGGAGAGGCAAAAACTTCCGATAAAGTTTGGATTGCTGTTGCAGTGAAGACTTTAAAAAGTGGTGCTAAGCCAGAAGAAAAGGTAATTTCTCATTATATTTTTTATTCATTCAATTGTTTGCATTTCTTACTGCGCAGTGACTCCAGTTTTTATCCGTTCCAAATGTGCTAATCAAAAATTCAAATTCTTACATTTTTTTTTAATAATGGAAAAGGAAAAATATGGTAATAAAAACGACAAAACTTGTGTAGTAATTATAGTTTACCCTTATATTCTGTTCTGCTTTATTTCTTTAACAGTTTCTAAAAAATAATTTAACTACTATCTTAAAATACACTTTTGTGCAATTTAATAGAGTTGTATGCAATTTAATAGAGTAATATATTTATAAAAAATATTAAATTTAAATTATTACTCATTACTCGCTACTACAATTACTCACACTATTGTATTGATATATTTTGCTGTGACTATATTAATGCAATATTAGAAAGCACTAATTTTTGCTGATATAATCGTGTGAGCTGACAACAAGATTATATCTTTTCCTTATTTTGTTTTTCAGATTTTTAATGTCTTTTTCTTTAAAATTTTAAAAATAGTTTATTAATAATAAATTTTCTTCTGAAGGAAATTAAGTAAAATAATTATAATAAGTTTAAAATAAAGAGAAAACATGGAAAAAACTTAAAGATTTTTGAAAATAAAAAAAAGACGAAAAAATTATTAAAATAAAATATTTTAAGAAACATTTAAAAAATTTTAAAAATGTAGAAAAAAATTTAAAAGCTTTAAATCAAAATAAGAAAAAGATATAATCTTGTCATCAGCTCACCTGATTATATCCTCAATTAAAAGTGCTTTGTAATGTATTAATACAGCCAAAGCAAAATATATCAATACAACAGTGTAAGGAACACCAAAGAAATCTAAACGAAAGTAGAACAAATTAAGCAAAAAATGTACAATAAAACAAATCAAGCAAAAAATAGAAAATAACAATTAAAGAAAATATAGAATAAAACACAAAATGTAATATATAAAGTGAGCAACGAATTCATATGCACTACCTCTTACCTGCAACAAGTTCGCCAGATTACAAAATATGAATGTAAAGGCGTAAATAGAGAATGGTGCGATCATTTTATGGCACATTTTTACTAAGCCTGTACAGAAGCCTGTTTGATTTGTTATTTTAGTTTCCTTGGATTGGCTTGAAAACGGAATTTGAGCAAAGTAGTAATATTGTACTGGCTAATTCAAAATTTATAATTAATAAGGTTGAATTTTAATTATAAAATTTTAATATTGATGATTGTAGAAATGTTACCATTTAATGAACAAAAATTATTTTTAAAAATTCTTTATTAAATATTAGGAGATTTCTGGCCACGGATTTATCCTATAATTGGATTTGCACATGGTAAAAATATAAATTTAGTTAACGAAGAAATTTTTAATAAATTTATTAATAATTATAATATAAAATTAACTGAATGATTTTATATAGAATTTAATTGCTTTAGTTGGATATCTATTGTTTTTCTATGAAGTTCGTCTGTTTATTTTTTTGATAAATAAACATTACTACAAATTCTTTTTATTTGATTTAAAATGGTATTTAAATAAATGTTTTTAGAAACATAGAGTTCTATGTTGTTAGTTAATTTATATTAAATTTAAAATAATTTCTTTTATTGTATAAATCAACAATGCAGATATTTTTTTTTCTTATATAATACTTAAAACTAAAAAATAAAAATTAATATCGTCGTCGTGATAATGAAGCAAGGTTGATTCCTCGGTTAAATATTATTTAATAAAATTGTATAATTTTGAAAATTAAAGATAATTAAATCATCAAAATTAAAGTTACACATTTAATATTAAGAGTATAGTTTTTTTCATAATAATGTAATAAGTAAACTAAGAGTGTTAATTTAAATCCTTGTAGTATTTCATCAATTTGAAATTTTGTTTATTATTAGTAATAAACCGAGAAAAACCTTATTTAATAATGTTCTTTATTATTTTATTCAATTAACTAGTGAAATTGATCCCAGGGTTAGTTTGGTAATTATTAGACCAACAAGTGATTGCTGGAAATTTAATACGAATTTTATTCAATTTTGGACTGACATGGAAATGTATATGGAAATTGTATGTTATTAATTTTAATTTTTAATCTCTTATAGATAGCTAAAAAAAGTTTATGATAATATTATTATTTAAATTACTAAGCTCAAAATTTTTACTATTTTCAACTCCATATGTAAAAGTTGTACATAAAATTTATTTACAGAATATTATTGTTAGCTTTGTCTATGGGATATAAATAAGACATAAATAAAATCTTAATAATTAAAATAAAAATGAAAAGATGAATGTGTGTTTGTTTGTATGGTTTGTTTCTATGGATATAATTACAAGATTCTTTTGTAATTGCTTAATTGCTCGATCAATTTTAGAAAAAAAATTTGAATTGTAACTCGTATCTAAATTTTTCTTATTATTATTAAAAATAAAAAAATTTCATGTAATATTAAGCAACCTATTTGCATTCTGTTCATATACTTAAAGGTTAAAAGAATCTGTTTGATATCTTAATAAAAAAATTTAGAGATCATTATAAAATAATTTTAGAATTTTATTAATTGATATCAGAAAACTTTTTAGCTCTAAGTTTTCTATGTTATTTAAATTACCAATAATAATTTGTTTATGATGTTTATCACCAAATTCAAAATATTTTTCTTCTTTACTGTAACATTCATAATCAGATATATTAATTTTCCATAAATTTTCGTTAATACAGTCAAACCCCGCTATAGTGAACCTCCAAGGGACCGGAATTTCTGTTCACTATAACCGGGAGTTCACTATATCCGATACGCAGGCAATTTAACTAATGGTTCCCAAACTCCTCCCTATTATTACACATTGTTCAAATAAATGACTGAAAAATATTATGTAGTAGCAAAAAATTTGTTATTTTCCATTACTCTTTGTCTTGTGTACAAAAAAAATTAGTAATCTTTAGCTGATGAGCAATCCTCAACATCAGATATGCAAAAACTTCCCGACACACAGATAATTTTTCCTGAATTTCTGTTATTCCGCTTTTTAAACCTGTCTAACCTGCCATTTGAGCACATAAAAGTAGTCTCATAAAATCGCTTAGCTTCGATTGGTGAACCACTTCAGTAATGCTTCTTCAACATCCTTGTGGTCTGCTTTTCTCATCTTTTTTCTGCCATCTAAATTTTTTTCATGAGCAGAAATTATTAATTGCCTATTTTTCCATATGTTACAAACTGCAGATTTGGATAGTTTATATTCCCTGCAAATATCAGCTTGATTGCATCCATTTTCAATTTTTCTGATTATGCCCATTTTATCATCAATTACGTTTACGTTACGAGAACGTTTAACGTTTACTGCTCGCCATAGTTAAATTTGAGACACTTGTTTGCAGGATTTTTTAAACTGAACTGAGAGGAAAAAGGAGTTGAAATGAGGCCCTTATCAACACATATTAGTGTCCAACCCTTTGACCAATAATGAATATTTGCTTAATCCCTCTGACATAAAATGCATATTGATCTAACTGACACTTTACACCGTCTGCCTGGGTTGGAAACTTCTGCTTTGTTTGTTTAGAGATGGGAAAATGAGATAAAAGAAGCAAACAAAGAAAAATGCTTTTCTCTACATTCCCCTCTATAGATGGTTTTGAAAATCAGTATATGTATTTTTTTTTTGAAGAAGAAATTTCAAAATTATTACAAAAAAGAAATCAAGTTGAAGACTGAATTTCTCTTAAAATTTAANGGAAAAATGCTTTTCCCTACATTCCCCTCTATAGATGGTTTTGAAAATCAGTATATGTATTTTTTTTTTGAAGTAGAAATTTCAAAATTATTACAAAAAAAAAAATCAGTTAAAAACAGAAAAAAGTTCATTATATCCAACTTCCTAACTTTTTTAGTTCACCATATACGAGAGTTCACTATAAACCGAGTTTTATTATATTTAGAGCTTTTAATTATGTTAAAATCTTTTAATGGAAACATATTTTTAAAATTTTTGAAAATATTAGAAAATTTAAACTTATCAAAAAAGGGGTTTTGAAAGCTAGTGACAAATTATAAGTTATCTATATTTTTCTTATTATTTGGTGAAATTTTACTCATTTTGGCTTTCACAAAATCGAAACAAAGAATTTTGAAGCATAAATTAGTAAAAGAAAAGGTTTTCTTTTTCCAATGCCCACCTATGCTGACATTCAAGATTTCAGGCGTATAAGGGCAGATTTGTTGGTCACTATTTCAGGGGCACCGTATTAGGTGGGCTAACGTTGTTCCCATAGTAAGGACAGATAGTACAGTGAATGAACGAGCATCTGTGCCTTGTCCTGGATTCAAACCCAGAAGCTTTCTGATGCAAGGCCAGTTTCCTGACCCCTACGCAGTCTAGTCAGCAGTAAAAGAAAAGTTGTTAATAAGATCGTGAAGCTTATATACATCATTATATTTAAGGAAGAAAACAAAATCTTTCCTTAGTTTAATATTATAATGCTTATTAAAGTCTTTTTCCTTATTAGAAATAAAATTTACAATTAATTTGTCATTATTAAGAGAGTTTTTATTAAAACCTGATCCACATTTACCTCGATTTGTATGCTTATCTTTAATGCGAAAAAGTGAGTAAGTTGTGGAGTTATTATAGTTAATCTGTGTATGTTAGAAGTTATTGTTTATTATGAATAATTTTGTTTCTGTAGTTTTAAATCAATATCTTCTACTATATCTAAAATATTAATTTTAACACTGTTAAAATCTTATGCTCTAAAATGATTCAATTCAAGGTTATTGATAATTCTATTACTGTTTATGTCTGAACGAAGTTAATTAATTCTAATATTAAGATAGTACTAACTTGTCCAACATATTACACGTTACAAAAACCACAGGTTAATGTATAAATAGCATTATTAATTTATGTATATATAACTTTTTAAAAATAGAAATAGGAGAAAAAAGGGAAGTACCAAAAATAAAATTTACTAGGACTTCAAGGATTTTATTAATGAAGGCATCAATTGATATAATCAACATAATGTAATTTAATCTATTTAAAATTTAGATTTTAGAAATTAAAGAGATTTTTTTAATTACTTGAAGTTAGATAAAATAAAACATATTCAAAACAGAATATCGCAAACTTTTTGAACTGAGTTGAAGATATGGAAAAATATCGATATAAAAATAATTATAAAGGCAAGGATTTACCTAAACCAGACTATTTAGTTTCTGATTTTACAAATAAAAGTTTTAATAAACTTGATTTGAAAATTTTTTTTTGAATTCTCCCTATTCAGCAAATATGCAAACTTACTTTTAAATATACAAAAAATTAAAAATAAAATTAATTTGTAATTATAGGGTTGTAGCTACAGATAATTAGGACTATCTTTATAAATGTGATGACTTTAAAAACGCTACTTTTTTTAAAACCTTCTATAATCATGTTGTTACCGGGGATTTAGATATTATACTTAATGTATAACTTAATATACTTGATATATAACTTAAAAAAATTGGGTTTCATTTTCTATTTCTAAAAATAAGGTTATTTCTATTTTTATTAAGAAATATTGATGAGTTAATTTTAAAATTATCATACAGACATAAGGATACAGACATAAGGCACAGCAGACCTTGGCCCATAGAGGGCCAAGGCTTGCTGTGCCCATCTCAGTTTTCTTGACCTTGGGCTATGGGGTGCCGGAGCAGATGTTCCGGTTAGGTGGTCAGCTGAACGCGGAACCCCCAGTATTTAGTTCCCAAGCGTGCTTGGTACTCATTTATCGACCCACTGAAAGGATGAGTCAACTTTGCCCGGCCCGAGGATTGAACCCAGGACCTGTGGCATGGGAGCGCAAAGCGCTGCCACTCAGCCACCGGGCTTCCTGATATTAGAAATCTGGGAAAAATGTTAAAAATATTAGAAATATGGGCGAACTGATATTAAAAATGTAAAATGCTCAAAGCAATTTCTGTATTACTACTATTGATAAAACTGGTAGATATTTTGCAATTATTTGAAAACTTTTTTACAAGCAACTTCTTCCTGATTTATTATTTAATAAAATTAATGTTATACATTAAAGACTAAATTAAACTAAATAATTTTTTTTTTTCTTTTGCTAATCCAAAGCTTCATGAAACCATAATTAATTTCAGGTTTATTGCAAGTGGCATAAAAAGTAGCATGAAAAAAATTAGCATTAAATCTGAAAACATTCTTAAAAGGTACACAATAAAATTAGTAAACATATTAAAAATACTAATCACCTGAATTGGAATCAATAATAGTACACAAGTTTTGAAAACACTAAAATCGTTAAATAAAATTGATTCTCTAAGCTGTTTTGATTTAGAAAACTAATATACTTCCCTCCGTACTATTAAAATTCTTGATGACCTTCTTAAAATTCTTTGCCTATTTAATCTTAATGATGCTATTGATTTGATGAAGACCGTGAAATTTCTTGTTCATATTGACCTGAACAACAATTATATTATTTAATAACTGTCTTTTTCAACAAATTAATAATATCCTTATGGGCAATAGTTTTAATACTAATGTTTGCAATATTTTTCTTTTTCTACAAGAATATAGATTCATGAAATCATTTAATAAACTTAATCTTTCTGCAAATTCCTCCTTTTCAGATTTATTGATGATGTTTTTTGGTTATTAATTTTGATGATTTTAGCTAAGAAAATTTATCCAAGGTAATTAATTCTTAACAAAACTAATATTTGAAATTTTTCAGCGAATTTTCTAGATTTAACTCTTAAATTAATAAAGCTAAGCAAATTTCCTTTTATTTATTTATTTTTTCATGAAAGAAATTATTTTAACTTTCCATTTAAATAGAGTATCAATTTTAATTTAAACTTATCCAATGAGGTTTTTACCTGTATTATTACCAGACTCTTAGGTTTTAAAAGAATAATCCCAATTATTAAGAGTTTTTAAATGAGACTTATAATTTTAAAACAGATCTAATCAGTAACCATTTACCTTATTCATTTCATCAATTTCGTTTTAACAAAATTATAAACAACTTAGAACACTAATTTTTTTTTCTGATCATAGTTATTAGCTCTAATTTATTTTTTTGAGATAAAAACAAATTATGATTAACTATTCTTACAACCACTGGATGGAATAGTTTGGATGTATGACCTTTTATACTGGGTCAATTAATTTATTAAGTAAACTTTTTAATTGTAGCCTTTTAAAATAATTTTACCTGTCCAGTGTAATAAACGTTTGTTTTTTATGCTAAGCATGTATAGGGGTTTTGAAATAATAAACAGACACCCCCCCAATGAGTACTGGCAATAAGTGTAGACTTCACTGTTATGAAAAAATGTGTGAATGAAGGATAATATCTATAAACTGCTTTCTATCTATTTATGAAGGCTCCGTCTTATAAACAGTCACCCTATGACACAAGGAAAGCCAGTATAGTGGTTTATTTTTAGTTTGTATGCATATGTAAAGCCCTAAATATTACTAATATGAATGCTTTTTTTTCCTTCAAAGATTTTACAATTTTAATGCTATTCTTTATTGAATTTTAAAAATTTCTTTTCCTATTATGGGTTTTGTTACTTAAATTTTCGAATTATTGTTATTATTTAAGTTTTTCTTTCATAGATGGCATCACTGAATTTTAATTTGATATTTTTACCATTTATTTTATACAATAAAGCTTCAAACACATTAATTATATATTTTCTTCTTTAGCAATCTTTGTTAACAGATAGATTAGTCAACCTAATTTCAATGTATTTTTTATTTTAATTTATTTTGGTGAGTTTGTTTTCTGCTTTTCTTTTTTCATTTTAAACACATTTACAAATACGTTATTTTATTTTTTATTATTTTTTCGAGGCATCAACGCATTATACAGAATAGTTTTGGGGATAATTATTTTTTATTTTAAAAGTCTCCTGTAAAGGAATGCATCCTGAGGAGAATCTTTGTTTATTCCATCATATTTTATAGTAGTTATAATTCTGTTATGTTTGTGTGTATCTATCTACACACACATGTATGTATATCTATATACATATAATAAATAATTTTCTTTTTCTCTTTTTTTTATTATTCTGTATTTTTTTTCATGTTTTCTCTTCATTTTGAACTTTATATATCTATATGTGTGTGTGTGTCTATATCTTTCGATTGTCTATATGTGTGTGTATATATCTATGTCTTTCTGGACAATATATTTAAATATTAATGGATCTTAGTAACGTGGGACTGATTTACTTCCCGAGCTACTAAAGACACATCATCACATTTTCTGAGATAATCAGATCAATATTATTACTTTCTTTATGGGAAAGGTTTGAAATGAATACGTGTTAGATACAAGCTCTATTTATGGATTATATTTATTATATAATTCTTTTAACATTACGTAAAATATATTGTCCAGAAAGATATAAAGACCCTCTTTCCAAGGTCAATCAGCTTTTCTCTATCTATCCACCAGCATGCAATGTGGTGCATTTACTTCAAGCTTTTTATCTTTAAAACTAAAACCCTTTTTATCTTAAAAATTGAAATATGTTTTTTTTTAATTAATAAAACATTGGGTTAGTAATGATAACAAATAGCTAAAGTTAAGTCAGTAATGAAACGTTAATTAATTTGAACACAATTTTATGTGTTAAATTTAAAATTTATTAAAGATTTGACAATTCATTTGTATGCCTCAAATATAAAATAATAAGAAAATGTAAGGGTAATTCTAAATTGAATAAAGTTAATAATCAGTACAATAGTAACTTTTGCGATGAAAAATTAGTGATTAAAAAAATTACCCCTTAACATTGGCATCAAAAGAAAGAGATTTTATTATTCCTCTCTCTGTAGATAAAAATGCCTTATTATTTAAGCCTTTCTTTTTAACATGATTGATGGGGAAAAAAATATTATTGGCTTCACAAACTTGATCTTCAAAATGGTGTATACATTACACTCTATGTTGACTCATTTATCCCAAAACTGATGACTGCCATGAAATGCAAATTACTTCTATTGGAGTAGGTGACAGCAATCTTTCCACCTCAGGCATGAATAGATTAAACATTGCAACGTAAATAGTTTTTTTTTCTTCCTTCTTTTATTCCTTTGTGTTTAACAAAAATTGAAAAAAAAAAAAGTTTATTAAGCTATGAAATTTTTTAAGTAAAATGCCACATTAGGAAGTGCAGTTAAAGGTTAAATTACTTCAATTTAATTTTCCTTTGCAGTCATATATTTTGTAACAGACTTAAATGATCTTCTTCTTTCAGCTAGATTTTCTTAGTGAAGCTGAAGTTATGAAACAATTAGATCATATGAATATTGTAAAACTTGTTGGAGTGTGCACAATGGGAGAACCAGTTTATACAGTCATGGAATTTATGCTCTATGGTAACTATATTCCATAATTAAAATACTAATTGTTTTAGCAATTGATTCTAGACTCTGATAACAATACATATTTTGTTGCAGGTGATCTTAAAACATACCTTCTTAGTCGGCGTAGTCTGATTGCTTCTGAAAAAGACAGAGCAAGCAATGATGAAGTCTCTGATAAAAGGCTTACGAATATGGCTTTAGATATTGCTCGAGGGTTAAGTTACTTAGCAGATAAAAAATTTGTCCATAGAGATCTTGCCTGCAGAAACTGTCTTGTGAATATATCAAGATCTGTCAAAATAGCAGATTTTGGAATGTGTCGACCTATGTTTGATTCTGATTACTATCGTTACAATAAAAAAGGTATTTACTTGTTAAGCTTTATACCTTATATATTCAAAATTTTGGCATATCAATTCCATGTTAAGTATGAAATCCAAAAGAACCAACGAAAATAAGGATAACAGAAATCAAGAAAACTATTATAAAAAGTTCGATTTATTTTAAAAATCTATATAAAATTTAAATAAATAATATGAAAATAGTAATTTTTTTTAAAAATTAATTTTAAAAGTTTTTACTTTTTTGTACTTAATTAAACTTTATTTGTTTTGAATTTGAACTATTCATTTATTATTTATTCTTAGCATTTATTTGGTCAATTTTAGTTTCTCCCATTTCTTTGTTTCTTCTGCTTATTTCCACTTTCTTCCAGTGTCCTGGAAGAAATAGGTTTCTTCCGGACAAAAAGCCAACCCCTGTTCATGCATGTGTCCAACCAACTAAATATGAATTAATACAGGGGTGTCACTCTTCAGTCCTGAGGACTGAAATCAGTCTTGAGAAAAGATCAGTGAGATGAAATCAAACCTCCAATTAATATTTATTTCCATTTAGTTTTGTAAATTACGTAAAAATTGTATTTTCTTTTTTGCTTAAAAAAAATTTTGACTATTGATTTAAAAAAAGAAAATGGAATTTATAGAAATAAAAAATTTAAGGTAAATAAATAAAAGGATAAAATTTGATGATGGTGAAGTGAGAAATAAGTAAAGATATGAATAGAGATTGGTGTAAAAAAATATAAGGTTAGCTGTTATTTTTGTTTTGTTTGTCTTATAAAAGTGAAATAAAGAGAATAATTGTACCTTTTTAGAAAAAGTAATCAAGTTATTGATATAATATCGCTCATGGGCTGCAGTAGTGGCGCAACTCAAACACACGTTTTGGACTGAGAACAGGTGTAAATATGAAAATACACATTCTTTCAGCAGCAATGCTAGTACAACTCATAATTCAACTTGAAGGTAATCTTCGTTTAAGCAAACTAAACCATTTCTTATGCATTTTCCTTAGCAATGAAAACTTTAAACCCACTTATCTCACTAACATCATTTTTTGAGTTGTGCGGTTGTTGCAACCCATGAGCGATATATGGATCATTCTCGTTTAAAGTGATTTATAAATTTTTGCTAAATAAGATAGATCATGTTAAGCAGTCAAAAAATGAGTTCAGTCTTGAAATTTTTTTAGAGTGGCACCCATGATTAATATGATATTGATTAGGTTGAAAAGATCTAAACATGAAATCTATCGATACTAATATTGGTAATATTTACTTACCAGAAGAATTGGGCATCTAACTAGGGACATAGGATAGGAAAAAAGTTGAATATGAATTAAACAGGGAATCCTTATTTATAAATAAAAAATAATTAAGTATAAGCTTTTTATAACCTGTTTCTATTCATTTTAATGCATTGTTTTGATAGATTTCATTTTAGAAAAGTACTCAAGCTATTGGACCCAGTGTTCGTGTTAAAAATACATTCACCTATATTACTATTAATTAAATATATTTACACTCTAAGAACTCATAATATACCAGTTTGATGATAGTTTAATCTGTGAGTTAAATTTTTAGGAATGCTTCCTGTCCGATGGATGTCCCCAGAGAGTCTAACTGATGGATTGTTTACACCTATGTCTGATGTTTGGAGTTATGGTGTTGTTTTGTATGAAATAATTACATTTGCAAGCTCACCTTACCAAGGTCTTTCAAATAATCAAGTTCTTGACCATATAAAACGTCATAAAACGCTTCCAGTTCCAAGTGGTGTAAAACCTAAATTGTAAGTATTAATAATCAATCGTAATTCTTTTATTTGTTATGAAAAGTCAGAAAAATAAAAGAATTTTTTAAAATTATTTTCCCTGAATAGAATCAAATAGTGAAAGAAATAGAGAGAAAAAATTAAAATATAACCACATAAAAATCCTGTATAATCCTATTAAGTAATTAGTTGTTTTAGTTTTTAATCATCGAATGGCCTTGCACTTTAGGTTAAGCTTTCTATTTTCATTTTTAAGATTTTGGCATTTTTAAACTGTGTAAACATATCACATTTATAGAGCGAACAACAAACTAGGTTATTAGCGTTTTAAGGTCAGTAAAATAGGACATTTATTTTTATCGAAACCAATAATTATTCTGTCTAAAATATTGAGTTAACAATAAGAACTTTGTTAAGCTCCAATGAAAACTTATAAACTATAAAATATAAAAACAGTTTTTTCCCTTAAAAAAAAAGTTTCTTCTTTCTGTATCTCTTTCATGGCAATTTAACATATTTTATCCTTTTTATCAGTCTTATTAAATTATTTTCATTATCCAAAAAAGTAAACATTTACAAGGAACAAAATTAAAGATGGCCTTGTAAAAATTAGTTTTTAAAAATATGTTAATTTATCCTTAATAATCTTTTTTTATGCATTGAATTATAATCTTCATTGCTCAGAGACCATTCTTAAATCAGTAAAGTTATCTACATTTCTATTAATAAAGGATTGAGCCTCATTTAGAAGGTTCAAACAGAGTTACACTTTGCTATAACTTATTGTTACTATAATATTTGAGAATATATAGTTTATTTATTAGAGTTGTTTTATTAAAATTATAATTCTTATAACTTAATGAAAGTAGTGAATGCACAGTGTTTACAACACTACCATGTAAACTTTAAATATGCTTTTTTGAAAGCCATTTTGTTTACTCCTGTAAATCGTGTATGTAGTTAACTTAGAAACTAAAAATTCAACATTGTTTCAAAGCTTACAAATTTGCCCCTTGATGTGCTGTTTCACAGGGTTTATAGTCATCCTGATCTTCCAGATAAAAAAAAGTACCTTTACTTGTCCTGTTTTTAGCTTTTTGTTCTGATATCCTAATTTTTGTATGTGTTCACATTTCCTTAGAATACTAATTTTTAAAAAATAGACTTGAAAAACTGAAAAGTTTGGATTTATGATTATTTTTTTTATTTTAATTGATAATGCTAATAAAAATGGCAAAATTCGATGGATCCAATATAACATAAACAGTCTACTAATTATGTACATAGTTCAGGCATATATCCTTACCCACAGGATTCATTGTTTAAGAGCCTGTTTTTTTTTGTTTTTTTTTAAATATGGACAAATCAGGCAGGTTTGGATACTTGATATTTTTCTTTTTGTACTTTTTTATGCAGTGGACCTTTGTATTGAACTTCAAAGATCATTAAAACTTCTCCGATAAAAAGGCTTTTAACGTCGAGTTTAACTGTCAATATCTACTAGTTCCAACAGTGAGCGCATACCAAGCAAGTACCTAAAAATGTAATCATGTGTGGTTTATATTTGGCATGACAATAAAATTAACTTTAAAATAAAGTTATTAAAACTGAAATTTTGCAAAATTTTCAAGGTCATTAACTGCCTTTTCCAAAATAGACAAGTATGAAATTTTCTAGAAAAGAAGCCTTAAAAACAGCAAAATAAATTCACAGGTCTATGGTTAGTGATTAAAATTTTATGTAATGTGACCTTAGTTTGAGACCTGATTAATTGAATGCAAAAATAACTATGAGAAAGCTGTAAATTGTTTAATAAATTTGATTTAAGTGTAAATATGAGTATCTGAAGTCACAATCAACCTAGTCTCAAATTAGAATTTCAATCTAGAAACACTGATCTAACAGTCTCAATCTACAATTCACTGAGGTGATCAAAAGTGGGAGAAAGATTACACTTTGCTTTCTAGACTAGTGGCATTGTTTAAATGTATTTTTTTAGGCTGAGTTGAATAAAATCTCATTCAAGTCGATACAACTGATAAATCAAAAGTTATAAAAGTTTTTATGGGTAAATAGTACAGTACATTGCTATGCAGAGAAACAGTTTTGATTCTATAGATTTCTTAGGATTAATCAAATGAGATGAAAACCATTTTATTATGTATTAACAGTTTTAGAAATATTTAATAACTTATTTTAATGTGTTGAATGCCACGCTAATTTTACATAGCTTGTTTGTCTGGCCTAAATGATTTTCTCAGTATGTATTGCATTACTTTCTTCAAACCATTTTAGTAACGATAATAATATTTAAAAAAAATTAAGCATTAAAAATTTACTCGAATTATGTGTTTCTAATAATCTTAGCTTCGCGGGTCACCGGTGACCCCTGTGACGTTATGAACAAACTCAGTGCCAATCACAGGTGACCCCCGTGGCTCTATGAACAAACTCAGTGCCCGTCACCGGTAACCCCATTGCATTCAACATGTTAAATATGCTGACTGTTTTGAAATAAGAACTTTAGATTCTAGCTTTAGATTAAAATTAATAGTAGGACTAAAAATAAAAATCAGCTGATAAAATTAGTGAAAATTAGCTAATAAAATTAGTGAAAACTATGTTTTTCAAATTGCACAAATAAAAGTAACCACTCTGAATAATTTTTGATCCCAATGATCGGATTTTCACGTACTAAGACTCACATACTCAATAATTCAATGGGTTTACCTCAAATGTGCTAATTAATTTCTGCAGTCAGTATTTTAAGTTGAGAAATCAGATACAAAAACGTCCTTTCTCTGAATGAACATATTATTTTTTTCAACGGATTTGGAATTCTGTCATTCTATGAAAAAGAAAAACAATTAACAATTTTATATTATTTAGTTTTATGGTGATGAATTCAGGGGTCATACGCTTATTTATTGCATTACGCAAATGTAACAAATTATGAAGGTTGGACTTCAGTAGTTTCACAATTATCGATTCATCTCTTTCACCTGACTTCTTCTGCAATAAAATTTGTTTTTAATGCACTTAAGTAGAGCAAATAACATTTTTTTAAAATTTAACACTTGCTTTTTTTAAAAAAAAATAGTCTGAAATATGTATACTGCTCCAAAAAATGTCCTGATTGATTTTGAAAAATACTCAGATTTTTTTTTCTTCACAATACTACAAAGCCAATGGTTCTATTTTTCAATTTAATTTAATCCCTATGTTTAGTTCATCTATGGTTTCTTTACATTTAGATTCTTTAACAATTCCATGTTCTGCTTCATTGCATCTTAGTTATGACTCTTCAAATTCCATAAGAAGAAGAATTTACTCCTCTTGCTTTTTTATTTTATTTTTCTTTGAGCAAATTCTTTGATTTCATATCTCTAAATTGCATAAGCAGAATAAATAAACATCCAGGAAAACTATTAATTTATGACACATTGTCTCCCAAAAATATGATTTTAAAAATTATTAAAATGATTTTGTTAAAGGACAGTTTCAATTTTTTTTAACTACACTACTAAGCATTTAAATTTCTGAACAAAGAAGGTGAGACATCACACTTGTGATATTTGCATGGCAGATAAAACATTGTATGATTTACAAACGTTTAGATTTTCAGTTCATTCACACAAAGCAAACAGTATTGTATCAACACCCATAATTCATTTAATAGCAAGGATTTGAAGCATTTTTCCCCAAACTCAATTCGCATTTAAACACACTATCTTCAGTTAAAGATGTGATACCTCATGTGATTTGAGGCATACATTGTTCACAGAATATAAATTCACTGGGTTCCACCACTTACTAATTGCTATGTTAATAATCTGTTGTAGAGTCTTGAAACTGAATTGACTGAGGATCCCAAAAATGTCATACAATCTTTATTTATCTTCCTGCAGAAGTGTATGAATACTATTATTTCTGCTTCAAGTGGCAACTTTAGTTACTAATTTCTCAGGATCTATAGGTCCTCATTTTATGTAAATTTAATGACTTACTGTTTCTACTAAAATGTATGTGCACAGTAGGTATCATTCTGTAATTTACATCCCTTTCTGATGTAGTTATAGCCAGCAGTGTATTAAAATAGTTTGTGTGATATAATATAGCTAATTTCATGCTTCGGTGTTTTTATTAAGAACAATCACTCTGTTCTCATTTTGTATTCATTTTTGTTATCATGCAATATATAATTAAAATCTTTATTGTAAGTGGAAAAAAAATCTCTTGTTGTGTGGAAAATAAATAATTTGTTTTTAATGAAATATGTTGTTATCCCCTACAAATAAATTTTTATTAAAGTATTTCATAATTTTTTTTGTTCAATTGTTTAAAACTAGTTCCCATTTTGTTTTATCTTGCCTACCAACTTGTTCTGATTTAACGGAACATTTTTCTTTGAATATTTAGAGTGGTAGTAAATTTTATAAATATTTCAGTATTTAAAGTACCTAGTAGTAATTTTTTAACATTTTATTAAATTAATTCATTTAACTTAGAATGATGTTGTCCACCATTACATCTAATCAACTTAAAAGTTTATATAAAACCTATTAATTTTGCAGAAAAGTTCTTAAATGTGAGCAAAATTAAACACATTGAGTTTGCCTTAAAATGTTATTTGGCTATCACTTTTAATATTCTGGGAATTCAATGAGTTCCTGGTTGGCAACTATGTTTTACTTTAAATTTTCAGAAAACATTATTATTAAATTTGTAATTATTAAATATATTTTCTTGTTTCAGGAATGCCTTATTACTGCAATGTTGGTCTAAAAATCCTCGAGATAGACCCCAAGCAGCAGAAATAGTAGAAATACTAGCTGAAAACCCTGAAATTATTACTCCATGTCTTGATTTACCAACATCAAGTGTACAAGTAATGGATTATGGTACATTGCAAATACACAATCGTGATAGAGAAAGAGTCCATTCTTTTTCATCAGTTTGGCAAACTCGTAAAGCAGCTCTTCATGATCAAATAGAAATTGGATTATTTGAACCTACACATATGGAAATGAGTTCAATGACCATTAACAATGGCTTACTCAAACATTCAGGCTTCAAATTCACAAGTAAAAAAGCAACTTTGCATGAAAGTTTTCGAAAGAAAAGTAAAAGAAATTTTGACAAACATAAGCAGTCAGATATTCAGCCCCAAAGTACTAATTTATAGTCAATTTTCTGCATTTCCAAAGTTTATAGAGGTGAGTAGTTAATTTAGGAAAAATGCAATTGCTTATAAGGCTTATATTTTAAAAAATTCTTATTTTGACTTTTTTTATAGGAAAATTTCTAAAGATTAGAAATTTTTTTTTCTAATGAACATAATGAATAGAATTTATTAGAAAATATTTTGTAAACCAATATTCAAATACCAAATCTTCTTATTTGATGATTACTTATTTATTTAATTTTTGTGTATATTTACTTAATTTATCATACCGTTCCTATTTTAGAACTATTTGTATTCTTAAGTTTCTTATGATTAATTTTGTGTTTGATATACATTGTTTTTCTGCCTTGGTATATGTAAAAAATTGTTTGTGATATTTACTTATATGTTTTCTAAGTGTTTAAAAAAGATGTTTGTCTTTATATTGTTAATGTCAGAGTTTAAAATTTTCTGATATTAAATTTTTCAATAAAGAACTATTTATTTATAATTTTATATACTAGTCAAAGTATCTAAAGATGCGCTTAATCAAAGTATCTAAAGATGTAAATTTTATTCTTACAAACGAATCAAATTTTATCTTATATGAGGAAAGTCTCAAAAGATATTTCTTCAATGAGTGGGAGAGAAGAGTAATAAATTATTTTTGTGATTTTTCAAGCCAAAAATTTACTAAATATTCTTATTGTGAATATATTTTTATAGTGCTTTTCAGCTAAATAGTGTTCGGATCACAATTTTTTTTTGTCTCTTTTATGTTTGTTTTACAGTCTATTCCATTTATATGGACATTATACAAAAGACTCTTGTCTACTTATTATTTACTAAACATTCTACATAAAATGTAACTTTTTTATTAAATATTGCAAGAAGTCATGCAAAATATTTATGCTGTATTTCGCACAAAGTGCTGCTATGCAATTAAAAAATATAGCTAAATATATATGCATATTTATCTCTTTGTATTAACTTGGAACTCAAAGTCAAATTAAAATAAGACAAAACAATATTTTTATATAAAAAATTTAGAAAAATATTTCATCTTTTATAACAAAATGCTCTACTAAATGCATTTTTGTTTAAAAATGAAAATTCCGTTAAAAATTTGTATCTACTCAATGAGTCTGATAGAAGGTATACTTAACCTAATTAAGTTTAAACGGTTGGCTGTCTAGTTTCTCAATTCCTTTTTTTTAAAGTTAATAAGACTTTTTTTTTTCCAGGTTAATAGCGCCATTTTTGTTTTTATAAAATTTTTTAACAATTTAAAAAAAAGTTCATTAAAAATTCAAATAATAATCTTTAACTTCTTGCAACCTTTACCCTCTTAATAATATGGCTGCCTATTTAGAAGTTTTAACATCACTGATAAATGTTTTAGGTTCTCCTATTACATATCATATTAAAACATGAATGGTAAAATATATTTGACTTTTGCATTGGTTGTATTTTATTTAAATAACTAATGAAATGTTAAAAGAGGTTAATGTTTGTAGTTTTAGAAATAAAATTAGTTTCTATTTCTATCCAAGTATATCATCATTTAATGATACCACTTAATAATTTTTAATTTTATATTATCATTTATTTGTTATAAGATCCTGCTTTTCTGACATAATGCTGTGTCTAAGATATTAAGCTTTTAAACTCACTGTCAAGTTTTTATTTTTTGAGATGTTTACCTTTTCTACTCTCACTTTATACATATCAGGCTATGTTACGAAGGTTTGTAAATAAAGAAATGTTCCTTTTATACTTTGACATGCATCTTTTTAAAATGATGTAGACAATGTGCATAAAGTTCTGAAGAATTTCATTTTAAATTAGTGTTGCTTACTTTGTGTTATTGAGTATTTAAGTCTTAAGCGACATTCATCTCTTTTTTACAAACATTAATTTCAAAATTGTAATAAATTTATTTTATCTAATAATTTTATATTTTAATTTTATAATTCATTTATCTAACATATGACTACATTGCGCTGCATGAAAAATAAAACACTGACACAATTCTTGTTAATTTATATGTAAAGTAACCTACTAAATCCAAATATCGGTAACTGTTTTCTTTTTTTGGGAGAACACCTCCGTCCCATATTTATCTCTTTTGGATATTTTTATGGCAATGATTTTCATTTGAAGAAAGGAAAAGGGATTATTTTTACAACTAAACTTCTTATAATGAACTAGAGTGGTGTAAAAGTTCTAAAGCAAGAACATTTATATCAAGGAAGAAGATTTTGAGGGAGTGCTCTTAAATTTGTAAAGTGAATTGTTATCTGTGATTGTATTCTTCCTTTCCACACAATCTAGCTTTCAGCCCTTGCTTCTTTTCCCAGACACTCACTAATAAGGAAAATACTTAACCAAAGGATTGGATAAAGGATCGTGAGGGGAGAGCTTAGGAAGCTCTCTCTTACAGTATATCTGCTATGGGCGCCGCAATAGGCAATATGGCAGTGAAATTATGTCAAGTCTTGATGATTTATTTTCTTGAAATTAAAAATGCCATAGAAAAGTCTCTCATTCATAACCACTAGCTGTTAAAGAGATTTTAAAAAGTGATGTATTCTGAAGCACAAAAAAAATTGATAATTTTAAATAACTTGACTTTTAATGACGTTAAGAACTTCACGTTAAAGAATTAAATCTCAATGGTCTGAGGGGCTGACAACAAATAGACTAAATAATTAGTGCAAACGATATTGGAATTTACAAAATCAGACACAAAAACGTACTTTCTTAGAATATACATACCTTTTTTTGAGTATTTCGACCTATCTCGAAACTTTTTAAAATGAACTGAAAAATTTTTGCCCACAATTATAAAATTATTCTTAATATTTATTAGTAACAGCCTGTAAAATTTTGAATTGAAAAGTATAAACATTTTTTACAGCATTTTAAGGAATGTAATTTCACATGGCAAGATAAAAAATTTGAACGAATTCGGTCTGAAAACTCATCAGAAAATGAATTTTTAAAAAGTTCTATTTTTAAAATTCAGTTGTTCAGAAACTATTTAACAAATATCGCTCTCATTTTATATTTCCTTTATAAAATTGTATATTTTAAAATAGTGTACATCTTGCAATTCAAAATTTTTTCGACTATTATTAAATAAAATAATAAATATTTATTAAAAGTTATTTTTTGCGTAGACTTATCTTTGGATAAGTGAATTTTATAATTGTGTGCAAACAATTTTTAATTCGCTTAAAAAATTCTTGAGTTATGGCGAAATGCGCAAAAAGTAAAATTATCATTAAAGGGATTAGAATTAGCCTTAACCTTTGAATCGCTGCCCTGACCAAACTATTGGGACCATATTTCCCAGATTGTGGCTATCCCCTATATTTTAGGGACTAGACATTCGAATCCGTCGAACAAAAAGGTATGTTCGTTTAGAAAAAGTGCCTGATTTCTTAATTTAAAGTATCGTCTGCACTAATTAATTAGCGTATTCGTGGTCACCCCTGAAACAATTAAGATTGAGTACAACAATATGTTAAGACCCAATCATTAGATCAGGGGGGTTCATTATTATTATTTATTTAGTTACTTAGTAATTTTTTTTTGCGCATTCTTTAATCCTATTTCAAAAAGTGATAATATAAAAGTTCGATTTTTCTCAGTTTTTAAGTGTATTTTTAAACAATCAATTGTAAAAAGTTTTTATTCCTAAAAACTTTTTATTCCTATATTTTTCTAATATCTATTAATATTTACTTCGTTAAGTAAAGCTGTGGTTGAAAAATAATACAAAACCTAATGCAATTTTAACTATTTCGAAACATATTTTTATAATATAAAGCAATAAAGCAGCATGACTAAAATTATTCTAGACTTGTAATTAGTGATATTATCGCTTTCCCACAGTGCCCAGAAAGCGAACAAGTTTTTACCGATTTAATTCGCTTTTAACTATTACTTGTAAGAATACGAGAATATCAGATCCATCATTATGTACTTTATTTATTGTGTAATTCTTTGATGTGAAATTCCCTTAAAATTTAAGAGAGTAACATTTCTTCTTATTAGAAATTTAACAGAGAGTGATTAGAACGTTTGGCTCAGAAAAACACTCTTGACAAAAACCAAAGTAAATGTAAACAAGAGTCATTTCCTTAGATCCCTTAAAAGCTTACATCTGTTTTTCTAGAACATCTAGATAATTGCTTGTTTAAGGTAATTTAATTATTTTAAGGTAATTTATTATCCAACAAGTAGATGGTTCTGTGAATATATGACATTTTATAAAAGAGCTCAGGGCAATTTAAAGAAGGAAACGGAGATTTTCCCATAGTGTAAAATGAGGTGCCTAGTTTTTGAGGAGTCAGATAACTGTAGGTGGTATGAAGAAAGTTGTTGAACGTCAAAGATGCTTTAAAATATCTCTATTTGTTAGTGAAGGATGCATTTTATTGCTCTATCCAGGGAAGGGAAAAAGAGTGGCAATTATTTTAGTATTCTAAACAATTGTTTTAATTTTTTTTGTACTGTGCCCTTTTTTTTAGTTTTAATGTTTTTTTTAATGTATTAAAAGTTTTCATGTGTAGAAAAAAAATTAAAGAAAGCTGAAGCGTAATTTGTCTCGGTGGAAAAAAATTTTCTATTTGGAAAATAGCTGCGAACTTGAAAAAAAAAGTAATTTCATTTTCTGAAATTACCAATGTATACTTTACTTTATTAGCCAATGTCAAATTTTCAGAAGAGTTGATGCTTATCACCCCTCCCCCTCAATTAAATTTCTGAGGAAAATGAAGTTTTCTATTTGGAAACTAATTTTAAAGTTGAAAAAAATAGTTAAATTCTAAATTAACTTTATTTTCAGGAATGTTTGAATTTCATAAGGAGTTAAGTACATTCTTTTCCCCCTCACTTTAATTTAAGAGAAAATTTTCTATATTTAGAAAATAACTTCAAAATTGAAAAAAAGTAGGGTTTTCTTTTTTTTCCCTAAAATTACCAATTTTTCTTGACTTTACTTTTGTGAATTTCTGAAAATGCAAAGCAGAATTTTCGCCAATCTCTTTAATTTAAGATAAAAAGTAAAGTTTTCTATTTGGAATAAATGGCTACGAAGTTTTTTTTTTAAAAAAAAAACTTTTCCTCCTAAAATTAAAAATTTTACTTTACTTTATTTTCGTGAATGTCTAAATTTCAGAAGATCCGAAGCAGATTTTTTGTCACTCACTTTAATTTAAGAGGAAAATACCTTCGAAATCGAAGAAGAAAAAAAAACAATTTTACTTTGCTTTATTACTGCGAATGTCTAAACTTCAGAAGGAGCAAAGCATATTTTTCGCTCCCTTACTTTAATTTAATAGGAAAATAAAGTTTTCTACTTTGAAAATATCCTCGAAGTTGAAAAAAAAAACTTTTTTTTTTCTAAAATTACCAATTTTACTTGATTTTATTCTGTTAATGTTTAAATTTTAGAAGATGCGAAGCAAACTTTTCCTCCCTCACTTTCATTTTTGAGGAAAATGAAGTTTTATTTTTGGAAAATAGATTCTATGTTGAAAAAAAAAAATATTTTTTTTTTAATTACCTATTTTGCTTGAATTTATTTTTGCGAATTTCTGAAATTCAGAAATTACATTTTTCGCCTCTTCGCTTTAATTTGAGAGGGAAATAAAGTTTCCTATTTGGAAAATATCTTCAAAGTTTAAAAAAAAAAAAAAAAATTCTAAAATTGAAAATTTTACTTAACTTTATTTTCACAAGTGTTCAGAAGGGCAGAATTTTTAAATTTCAGAAGGGGCAAGGCAAATTTTCCGTCCCTTCACTTTCGTCTTAGAAGAAAATAAAGTTTTTTACTTGGAAAATAGTTTCAAAAAAGATTTTTCTTTAATTAAAAATTGTTCGTAACTATTTTCCTGCGCATCGGAATTTCAGAAGAGGCGAAGCACTTTGTTCACTCCCTTTTTACTATTTCGGCCGAAAACAATTTTCTACCTGAAAAATAGAGTGAAAATTTAAAATAAAAATATTTTTCTTTTTTCGCTTTACTTTCACAAATGTCAAAAGGCGCATTATTTTCCCCTTCAATTGAGTTTCAGAACAAAATAAAGCTTTCTATTTTGTGTATAGCTTCAAAGTTGAGAAAGAATAGCTTTTTTTCTCTAAAATTTCCTGTTTTACTTGACTATGTCTTGGTAAATGTCTCACGGTGCGCCTTAACCAAAGTTAAATAAAAAGCTCTTACACCTAGAAAATTAGAAGAGATTCTGAATTTACAATGTTCTTAGATAATAAAAATCGAAAAATTAAAATAATCTGTGGAGAGATTTTTAAAAAAACCCACTTTGAACATTTTTGCTCACGAAGTGCGATATTTCAAAAATGTTAGCATCATTTTATACTTATAAACAGAAAAAAAATTTTTTATTAAATATTCATAATAACCGTTTATAATAAATTGTATAATTATTCGAAGTTTTTTAATTGTTAATTATAGTCGGTGAACCACTATTTAAGAAACAAAAATAATAAAAACTTAAATCGACTTTAGCGACACAAGACTTTAAAAAGGGCAGCTTCCATTCGTGTGTGTACACGAAGTAGAAAAGCAATTGAACCAGGATAAAAGAACAAAACTTAATTTCACAGGTCATTCTGTCGACGATTATTTTGATTTTAAGGAATAGTCTCGGATGCTCCTGCGCTTGGAGTTTACTGCAAAGATGTTCCTGCTTTTGTTCCGCATGTGAAAAATAAACGAGATATACTGGATGTTCACTTAAAAATGGGTATTGATGGAGGAGGTGGATTTTTAAAAATATGTCTTTCTGTACAATCAAATGAGTTGGACTTCGAGTGCA